GCGCGGCGCAAGGAGCATATTTTATATATCAGCTGCGGTTGCCAATGCCTCGTCTTACCATGTGCTACACTCCTTACTAAGGCAGTGCTATAAGTTGAAAGTTTTGCCTGTAATCGCCTTGATGTCTGTGGATGCCGGCCAATTCTATTATCGCTATCGTCCATATCCGCGCTTTGAACTGGAGCAACGTGCGCTAGATCAGCGTCCCTTTTTTGTGGCACACTTAAGCAACATGCAGCGTCAGCCGCTTATCTTATTGCCCGACCAGAAGCATCCGCGCACCATCATTTACACGGACTGGCGCACTGGGTCACAGGTTCTGGCCGGTTCCGTGGGCCGTTTTATGCGCACCTTGGCCTGGAAGCTGAACGCCACCATACAGTTTCCCATGCAGATCAAGTCAGGTGTGGGTCTGCATTATAAGGAGCTGCTGACGCTGATTGAACAGTTCCAAGTGGATGTGCCAGCCACTGTGGTGCAGTTGATGCGGCCGGAACAGCTCCCGCTCATTAGCTTCCCCTTTGAGCTGAGTCATATCTGCTTGATGATACCACGGGCACAGCAACTGCCCATCAAGGAGGTCTACCTCATCTTGGGCAGTGTTTACCACCTGCTCATTGCCCTGGCTGTGGTCTATAGCTTTGGGCTGTTGCTTAGTCTGCACAGGTGTCTGACTGGGCAAGCCATAAGCTTGGTGGATTTTCTCCTTAACGATGTCGCGCTGCGCGGAGTGCTGGGTCAATCCTTTGGACATACTTTGCATACTAGCATTTATGTTAGCACCATCTTTCTGATGCTAGCTGTGCTTGGACTCAATGTCAGCTCAATTCATGAAGCTGCGCTCGGCACACTTCTGACACATCCACCCAAATACTTTCAGCCACGCCGCTTTGCAGATGTGCAACGTGCACAGCTGCCACTGGTCGTGGATGGCGAGGATTTGGAAAATAGTTATGATCTCAGTGAACTGGATCTGCGACTGCTGCCCATGAATAGCAGCGACTACCACAGCCACAGGAACAAAATGAACCAGAGCCATGTCTACTTCGCCTCCCGGCTCAAATGGACGTTGTTGAGCGAACAGCAAAAGTATTTTCCACACGAGGTTTTTCTGTACTCCATGGATGCCTGCATTCGAACACTCACGCACATGGTATTTCAGCTGCCCAAAAGTACCTGGTTCCTGGAGCCTATTACTAGACTGATTTTGGATGCACGGGATTTTGGACTGTTTCAGCATTGGGTCGATATGCATTTCTATGACATGGCCGCGGCGGGTTTGTTATCCTTCACTGATCCGCTCCAGCGTGAGCCTCAACGACTTAAAGAGGCGCTCCGCTTGGAGGATCTTCAGTGGATTTGGATTGCCTATGGAGCTCTTTTAATGCTCGCTACATTAGTATTAGTGCTGGAAATCCTTTTAAAGCGAGTGCAGCAACGATTCGGAAGGTCTTAAAGCTAAACAAAAATCCAAGCAACTTTCTTATTATTATATTATCAAGCTCCAGTTGAATATACTTAAATATACTCCCAATCCTAGCTCTTTTCTGATTGCTGCCCGCAGTTATCCCTCCGAGGATTCCTTCAAGCATGCTCATAACGAAGGTTTAGCTCGAGATGAGAGGAATCGGTAGTTAACTAATATAAAGTTATGGTCGTTAAAGTTCGTTTATTGTTTATTGATTACAAGCTGTTGACAACATAACTAGTGGGATTGAACACGATCTATGGGGGTAGTTGTGAGTATTTGATCAGTGAGGAAAGTGCAGAGAGCTAAAGTATGTTATTGTATTAGATCAGAGTCTGAGTTCGTTGGGCTTAGACCACATTGGTGTGCTCGTCGCGATGGAAGATCTTGACGTCGAAGAACTTGAAGTTGTCCACGTCAAAGTAATAGTCGTGCTTCACCGGGCGATTGAATGGGAAGCCGAAGGGCAGGGCATCAACATAGCGTGAGCCATGTCCAATGCCGCAGCTGACAATGGGATCGTAGCCAGTGTACTGCGCGACAGTGGGCTCATGGTATGGATAGACCATGTAGAAGAACTGATAGACCTGACCGCCCTTCTTGCCCTTGGGCAGCATCATGCGATTGGGCACACCGCAGTGTGTCTCGGACTGATCCAGCTTAAATTTGTAGTCACTGTTGGTGGCATCCATAAGCTTCTGGTAGAGCTCGAAGTATGTGGTGCGATCGTTAACCCAGAAGCTGAAGTCGCCGCTAGCGCGCTTTATGTGGTTGACGCCAGCCTCCAGCTGTACCTTGAAGTGTTCCAGCTCGAAGAAGTTCTGATAGTTGTGCTCCAATGGGATCACATGTCCGAACTCATCGTATTTGGGTCCAATGAATACCTTGACCACTGCGGTCTGTGCCTTGTCTGCGGTGATGTCCAGTGTGAACTCGAAGGGTTTGTGGTTGAGACGATGCTGGCGGGCCTTGATCACAAAACTGCTGCCATTGTAGAAGGAGTTGCGGCCAAATTTATAGTGGACATCGGTTGTGGACTCCACGGTGTGCTCAACATTCACGGCATTACTAATGTCGGCATCAAAGTATTCGAAATAGGTGGTGAGGCTCTCAGGCATGTGAACGGCATCGATCTTGACACCCTCGAAGCCGTAGTCGACCTTGGTGTATTCTGGGAAGGTTTCCATCAGATGCCAGTAGTGGCTCAGCAGATTCTTGTACACCTCGAAGAACAGAGGATCGCGGATGGAGGTGTCGTAGTGCATGAAAGTGCCGGGGTAGGTTTCATGGTATTCGTTATAGGGATATCCCTCGTTCACAATGTAACGGTAGATTTTGTCCAAGCTGCCATAGAACTGCTTGTCAATGCTGTCCACATTGCCCTGGATCATGTTGCCGAGCACGTTGACGACATCGACATCGTGTTTGGTGTTCTTGTGGATCCAGTCCATAATGCGATGTGTGTAGATCTCAACATCCTTCACATACTCCAAATTCTCGGGCGTGTAGAAGTTGTAATAGTTCGAACGGCTGGGATAGGGCACGCCGTTGTAGTCGCGCAGACCGCTGTAGAAGCCAGAGTGGACGGGTTCGTACATGTTGAAGGTAGGCACCTCACCCAAATCGTTAGACAGACGCTCCAGATAGTAGCGAGCCAGCAGCTGCCAGTGCACGTAGAGATAGAGCTCACCGCGGCGATCCTTGTTTAGCATATGCACCTCATCACCCTTGGTCCAGAAGGGATAGTCCAGGTTGAAGTAATAGTAGAAGCTGTTGAAGCCAATATCCTCCAGGAAATAGGCCAGACCGTGCTCGTAGTTCATATCACCATGAACGTTCGTGTAATTGGACTTGAGTACTATGTTGTAAACGTTGTTCAGCTGCTTGACATGGTGGAAGCCGTGCATCTTGTAGTGCTCGGCCATCTCCAGAGTTTGGCCATCGAAAAAGCTCCATGGATGAATCTCGTACTGAGCTGGGAACACAATACCCTGCATATCGTCGCGGAACAGGCTGGCAACAGTGAAGGCATAGACGAAGAGCTGTTTGTTCACATGCTGGCGTGCCCAGAAGACCACATGCTGGAAGGTCTCCCAGTTCTTGGCGAAGTAGAAGAGACGTACCAGGCCAACGGCATACTCCTCATGGAGATCGTACATAACCGTCCACACCTGATCATCATGGATGGGATGATGCTGCCAGAGCTCAAAGAAGTGCTGCACTTTCTCCACATGATGATAGTCGCTGACATGCTCCCAGGGCTTGTATTCATAGAAGCTGGTATCAAACTTGGTAACGAACACATCGTCCTGGTAGATGTGCTGCAGCATTTCGAACACGAACTTCTGCTTCACCAGAAAATCCTTGTCGGCCACCTTAAACTCAATGTGCTTGCCATGGCCACCAAGTGCCAGCAGAGCTAGCGTCAGAACAACAACCGCCGTGATCGACTTCATCGTAATCATGGCGATACACTGGCTGCAGCCTCCATTTATACCTGAACCTGAATCAGGCGAACGCAGCGTTCCAGCTGCCAGATATGCAGCCAGATGGGGCCATCGTCCGATTGCTGATATTGCCTTGACATTATCAGAGATCCGTTCCACCTTAATGCCTAATGCTGCAGCTAGCATTGATAAGGGCACCATGCACCTGTCAGATCTAAGTGCGGATCGGGAGGCCCGACTTCCAGCAAAATCGATCGATTGATTTGTTGCGACTATACTAGGCAGCTATTACAACGCCTGGTAACACCTGCTGATTGGACATTATTAGGCACTGCACCTTGATTGCACTCTGAGCCGCTGTTATTCTTATTATTATTATTTTTTCTTTGCAACATCGCCTGAGGGTCGGCCAGCGGTCAGCCAAATAAAAACGCGATGATGCGCCGCTTATCAAGCAATGTTGCCAGCGGGACTAGCTAAGTCTAAAAATATGCATCTACTAATACTAATCATATCAACTGAAATGCCAAAACAACAAGAGTAGACAACAAAGAACAATGGAACTGCAAAGGGCAGCGGAGTGCGCATCTTAAGACCAGAGTCGACAAAATCATCTAAACATTCGAAGCAGGTTTATACACAGTCGCTATTGCAGAATTCATGATATTGCACAAATCCTCAATATTTAACCCTAAAAACTTTTAGATTAAACTAATCTGATAAAAAAAACATCATTCCATTTTATTTATTCGCTGGAAGCGGTGTCAAGCTTATTTATTTTACTAATTTTCTTTTTAATTTCATTTTATGATTAAAAAGTTACATTTTTGTATTCTCGGAGTACTTAATAAAATAATAAAACGATGTTAAGAAATTGCACAATAATTGTGATACAAATTATATTTTTCTTATATAATAATTTGATTTGCAGGAATCCTTTAAATATCCGACTTGAAGCATGCCTCTAGACTTAGTCAGTGCTTACGCAATTATAATAAATATTATATTAAATAATGTTTCTTTATTATTCAATTTTTTTCAAAAAGAAATCTCCACTCATTCATTTTATTGGAATAATCTCCATATTATACCAACTGCTCGCGTATTATTTTCTTTATCAAGCGTGCTGAGAGCTCAAAGGCGAATATTACAAGGGAAAGACAAACCATGCATGTGTATAGCAGCCAAAAGTAGTATAGATCTATCCAGCGTAAATAACAGTTGCATTCGAAATTGTTGTAGGGCAATTCCTCCATTTTGCCAATACTAAGTAGTTTATAGTAGCTCCGGCGATACCAGAATGAGTACAGGCCGCTGGCTTGGGTATGCAGAATATAACTATTGAGGGCCCGATGGTAAATGGAGTCGTTGGACAGCGGTATTGCAAAGGGAACGAGCGAAAGTAACGTGAAATCCTTGGACAGGCGAAAAGGTGCCCGATGTTGTCTGGCGAACTTACGTTCTATGAAGGGCCACATCGTTTGGGTAACTGGATAGGCATATGAGGAATTTGGCAGACAGCGCATGGCCTGAAACACAGAGCTGTTCACCAGCTCATGGACGTCCCAATTAGTGCTTAGTACGTGTTTGCCAATGGCCTTGAGCATGGCAGGCTTGTCAAGATCTGTGAAGAGAATCTTGAGGCCTACCCTGCGCATGTCCTGGTAGCTGCGTATCGGTGGTTTTGTAAGGGGATGCACCAGGTTCGTCTCCAGCTGAGTTATATAGGTATTGTAGGATAGAAAGCTGGACACCAGGATCAGCATGTATGTGATTTTAAGCCTTAGGCTGGGACGCCTTGGCATCGATAGTGTCTGATAGAGTATGGCCCTAAGCACGGGATCGGTCAACGCCCCCAAGCAACAAGCACTGGGCGCCAGACCCAATTCCAGGCGATTAACATTATGCAGCAGCAGGGCCAATAGGCACATTAAACACATTGCGTAGACGATCTGCATTTGGCTTCCGCCACCAAAGACCAACAATGTCCGGTCAATCTCCGATTCGAGTGGCACCATTAGCTGCCATTTTGATATTTCCATCACATGACTGTAGTTCCGGAAATCGGGATCCAGTGCAATATTTGAAATGCACGCAGGTATATCCACAGTTCTGGTTTGTATCAGACGCGTCACTTTTTTAAATTTTACAATTTCGTTGTCCCGAGGCACCTGGTGCCACGAAATCTTGAGTGTTGCATTTAATGTTTTGGCAAAGTTTTCCATAAATGACGACAGGTAACCGGACAGCTGATAATGTCCTTGTGCATCCTTGTAAACAACAGTACGCGGAAACACGTTGTCTGGCATGGTGACTATTGGATAACCACCCATATCCTTCAATTGTGGCTCAAAGTAGCGCTTCACTTGCCAAATGCTTCGCTTGACAATTGTAAATCGAGGAAAGGCCCGATAGCTGTAAATATGACCGGGACTCCAAGTAGCTATAGCCAGGACATTGAGCATATGGTTCTCCAAGCAATTCCTAAACAAAGCCTGAACATAGATTCTATGGTTAATCATAAATATGGTTGCCGTTTCTCGCATTCTCATTAGGTTTGTATACAGCGCATTTAATACTGTCGAATTTTGATATTCCAAACAAACCAATCCTAGAAACCGACTTTTAAATTGGTTTTGAAGTGCATACTCTTGGTTTGCATTTAAGTTGATTATCGGTGTTTCAGAAATCGCTTTCAAGTCGATCCAACAATTTGAGGAATTTTGTAATAACAGTATAGACTCATAGCCAAGCTCCACTTTTAGTTCGTGCAATACCCTGCTCGGAAGCTCCATTTGTGCCTTGGCTAAGCAGGCCAATATTAAGAAATAAGGTTGAATGTTTTGCAACATTTTGTTACCAAAGACTATTACCAAGAAGAATTGTTTTGCAAATGGCGAAAATCATAACCAATTATCCCCTTTTATTGGAATTCCAACCAGGTATCTGCGCAGCGGGAAACCTAATTTAATTTAATGACAGATTTATATCACAACAATTAATCAATGCGTCAGCAACGCTTTACATAGCAGGAGCTCTACGTTTTTACCATTATGCGTTAATTAATTGTCAATAGCTGTACATACAAACACAGATATTACTAAAAGCTTATCATCATAGGGGCATCTAACTTCAAGTTTAAAGCCATATTAACGCCCGTAAAAAAATCAACAGTATGTAAAAAAGTTGCCAGTGCCAATCGTGTTTCAACTTTATTACCGTTATACATTTTCATACCCTGCCATTCAAAATACAAAACAATTTTTTACCAGCACTCGATAATTTTCGATAAATCAACAATACGTATCGCAGCGATATTATTTGCACAACTAAAACCAGTGCTGCCATTTGAAGTATTATGGCGCTTTTGAAATGTGGTCACACTTGTGCATCCACAGGCAAAGTAAAATAAAAAAGCGTGGAAGTAAGAGCGACCAAACCGCTTGCGAATAACAAAACATATTTAAAAGAATCTGAGTGACGACATTGCACGAAAATACGGCGAATAGAGCGTCACACCAAAAACGTGAATTTAACTTAAATGGTAATGGCGCACCGTATATGCTAAACAAATAGGGTGTTGAATTAGTGTAGAACAATAATTTGAAATTTGTTGCTGTAGTTGTGTAATATTTTGAAAAGTGCGAACAGCAGAAAACAACAACAAACACAATGAAAAATCGCCTGATATCACAAAATTGCGTGCGTATGAGTGTGGTTGCGTGAGTGTGTGATATCTCTATTGCGCTGTTCGAATTAAAAAGAGCGAGTGAGCGTTGACAGTTACATTTATGTATTTATTTAATTTTTGACATTAGTAAAGCGTGTATTTAATTTTCGGCATGATTATTTACAAATCCTATTGTACTCTTTTGCTTCTACTTTTAGGCGTAAAGTGAGAAAACAACGTATTTCTCATGCCCATCTAACGACAACAACAAATCCAAAGATACACAGAGTAGACAGTGATTCGGAAATTCAAAATTATAAACATTGGAGAACTTTGGAACTGGATTGGCAGCCGTACCCCACCGACAGCACCCCCCCTACAAATACGAAAATAGACAAACAACATGAATTTACTGCTGCATCCCAAAGGATCAATGCATCTGAAATCGCATTACATGTTTCAGAATTTCTACAAGCGCTGTAAGTCTGTAATCATGCAAAAAAAAAAAAACCAAAATCAGAACGCACAAAAACTTTCCATTGATTTTACCCCATATATTCGCGGCATGAATGTGTGTGTGAGCTCAGATATCTGTAAATATGATTGTGTGTGTGCGATGTGCTTTTGTTCGTGGTTTCTTTTATCGCTGCTTTTGTTATGACTGCATATTCGTGCACAGCTGATTCAATGTTTGCGTGCACCTGGGACAATTAAATTTCCCTGTTGCGCTTGTTTGGGTACTTTTGTATAGCGTGGAAAGGAAATTCCCTGAATCCAGTAATTATTGAGTTTGTTAATCGGTTTTATAATAGGAAAACTTTTATATATATTTGCCGGTGCATGAACGCCATAAATATACCGGCTGTTTCGTTTGTGTTGTTATCGTTGTCGAATATTTAATATATAATTTTCATTTATTTCCTATCACGTCTTGCTTAAAAAGCGTCACATGAGACTGCTTATCATCTTGCTAAAAAGCTAGATTCACCAAAAAAGTAAATATAAAACTGACTAACTTATGCCGGTACCATGCGATAAGGCTTTAACAGAGTTAGTAAAAAGGTACTGTTTCAATTAGGAAAAGTTTCAGTATTGCCAGATTTACTGCACATTTGCACCACACTGTATGTACGATAATTTTTTTTTAATATCTCGGGTAAATATTGTCTGATTTTAAAATGTTATACCTTTTAGAATGCGTACGGATCCCTACCATCAATTGGCATTCAAACAAATTAATCATCGATGGGTTGAAACAAGTTGTTGACGAAAAACCGATTCGTTCGTAAATTCAACCTTTTTGATGACTTTTTGGAATATTTCCGTCAAATAATGTCCGATTTTGGAATTTTATACCATTTTGGACTCGTAAGGATCAGTTCTATCAATTGGCATCAAAAAAAGGAAATCCAAAATTTTGACCCAAATCGACAAAATGGCAAGGGGTTACATCACAATTTTTTTTTCCAAAATCGAGGTCGGTGCGAAAATCGAAACTTTTTCGATGATTTATTTTAATATCTCGGGTAATAGCTTCGCGCGGAGATATGACGTTCCAAAACGACATAGCTTCGCGCGGAGATATGACGTTCCAAAACGACATAGCTTCGCTCGGAGATATGAAGTTCCACAACGACATAGCTTCGCGCGGAGATTTGACGTTCCAAAACGACATAGCTTCGCGCGGAGATATGACGTTCCAAAACGACATAGCTTCGCGCGGAGATATGACGTTCCAAAACGACATAGCTTCGCGCGGAGATATGACGTTCCAAAACGACATAGCTTCGCGCGGAGATATGACGTTCCAAAACGACATAGCTTCGCGCGGAGATATGACGTTCCAAAACGACATAGCTTCGCGCGGAGATATGACGTTCCAAAACGACATAGCTTCGCGCGGAGATATGACGTTCCAAAACGACATAGCTTCGCGCGGAGATATGCCGTTCCAAAACGACATAGCTTCGCGCGGAGATATGCCGTTCCAAAACGACATAGCTTCGCGCGGAGATATGATGTTCCAAAACGACATAGCTTCGCGCGGAGATATGACGTTCCAAAACGACATAGCTTCGCGCGGAGATATGACGTTCCAAATCGACATATCTTCGCGCGGAGATATGACATTCCAAAATAACATAGCTTCGCGCGGAGATATGACGTTCCAAAACGACATAGCTTCGCGCGGAGATATGACGTTCCAAAACGACATAGCTTCGCGCGGAGATATGACGTTCCAAAACGACATAGCTTCGCGCGGAGAATGACGTTCCAAAACGACATAACTCCCCGCGGAGTCGGTTCGAAAATCGAAACTTTTTCGATGATTTTTTTTAATATCTCGGGTAAATATTGTCTGATTTTAAAATGTTATACCTTTTAGAATGCGTACGGATCCCTACCATCAATTGGCATTCAAACAAATTAATCATCGATGGGTTGAAACAAGTTGTTGACGAAAAACCGATTCGTTTGTAAATTCAACCTTTTTGATGACTTTTTGGAATATTTCCGTCAAATAATGTCCGATTTTGGAATTTTATACCATTTTGGACTCGTAAGGATCAGTTCTATCAATTGGCATCAAAAAAAGGAAATCCAAAATTTTGACCCAAATCGACAAAATGGCAAGGGGTTACATCACAATTTTTTTTTCCAAAATCGAGGTCGGTGCGAAAATCGAAACAATTTTGGTAAATAATAAGAGCTAGAGTCACGAAACATGATATGTTGCATCTAAAATAGAATATATATATGCATTTGATGTTGGAAGAAGAGAGTTCTGGGTATCCCCTAGTCGGGAGCTCCCAACTAGAACCCCTTACTTGTTGCTTATGCAATTAGCCGGCTTTTCAAAATTAATTATTCTTTCGTTTTTCGCCATACCTTGAAAAAAATGATATATTGTGGGGCTTATGCACGCATACATAGAAATGCAAATACAAATTGGAACGGTAGGATTCAAGCGGTTTTTTGGTTACCGCAAAATTATTAATTGATATGAATTATTAATTGATATTTGTTATTTATATTTTATTCTTCAGGTAAATACTATATTCTCGGCTGTTGATATATTTTTCAACATTCCATTTTAACCGATTTTATTATTCCTTACCTTGCAGATCTTAGAACGAATTATTATGCATACAGTGCAACGACAAAAGGCCAGTCCTACGCGGAAGATTCAGTTTCTTCACAGCCATGGAACATTCGGCAAAGGAGAACGTTAAGTGACCATTCACTTAGCTCCAGTCAGCGCCATGTTTGTCGTCAACATCATTTTTCCGGTCATGGCTTCCGGCATTTTCACGTCGATCGCACGCTCTTTGATTCGTGCTCGAAGATTGATGCGACTGTGAAGAAACTGAAAAATCAGCAAAAGGAAAAGGTCGAAGAGATCATGAAGGAAGTGGCCAACGGGCAGGCTGCAAAGGAAACGGCATCGGTTGCCCCGGTGACCTTCAGCAGCCCCGACAATGCCGCTCTAGACGCCAGTACAGCATCGAAAGCGACACCAGCTGGTACAAAGTCAGCGTCTGAATTAACAGAGGCTGCATCCAAAGCTGTGGCAAAGCCCAAGAAGCCGCTTCAACAGCGCATTTGGGATGAACTGGTGCATTATTATCATGGCTTCCGGTTACTATTCATCGACACGGCAATCAGCACGAAGCTGCTTTGGCTTGTCCTCAATGGCAAGACTTTGACGCGACGCGAGAATAAACAATTGCAGCGTACGACATCGGATCTGTTCCGTTTAATACCGTTCTCGGTTTTTATTATAGTTCCATTCATGGAGCTGCTGTTGCCGTTGTTTATTAAATTCTTTCCGGGCATGCTACCCTCCACTTTTCAAACGGCCAAGGATCGTCAAGAGCGCTTAAGGCAGTCACTGGCCGTCCGCCTCGAAGTTGCCAAGTTTTTGCAGAAAACGCTTGGCCAAATGCCCGTACAGCACAAGGAGCACTGCAGCGAGGAGGCTAAACAGTTTGAGATGTTCTTTCGCAAGATCCGCAATCCCACAGAGCAAGTAAGCAACGATGAGATCATTAAATTTGCTAAGCGTTTTGATGATGAGATCACACTGGATTCGCTCAGTCGGGAGCAGCTTGCTGCTCTCTGCCGTGTACTGGAGCTGAACACAATTGGCACAACAACCCTATTGCGCTTCCAGCTGCGGCTCAAGCTTCGCTCATTGGCTACCGATGATCGTGTGATATCACGCGAAGGCGTCGATTCGCTCGATCTCTTTGAGCTGCAGCAGGCGTGCAAGGCACGTGGTATGCGTGCCTATGGGCTAACAGCGGAACGCTTACGCTTCCAGCTCAAGGAATGGATCGATTTGTCGCTGAACGAACAGGTATAGTTAAAAAAAAAGGTTGCTAGTTTTTTATATTTTAATGGTTTACGCCTTATCTTTAGGTGCCACCTACTCTGCTGTTATTGTCACGTGCGATGCTCATCTCTGATGACAGCATTACGACGGATAAGCTGAAGGAGACAATGCGCGTGCTTCCCGATGCAGTGGCTGCACATACACGTCATGCGATTGGTGAACGTGAGGGCAAGGTTGATAATAAGACGAAGATTGAGATCATCAAAGAAGAGGAGCGTAAGATTCGTGAAGAACGCGAAGAGGAAGACGAAGAATCAATTGCTAAGCGATCGGCCATCAAGGATGATCTGGCGACGCCATATGTTTCTACCGAGGAAATTGCAAAGGTTACTCATCTGATGGACAAGAAAATAGAGACAGTTGAATGTAATGAGAAGACCATCTCACCGACGGATGTGCAACTGCTGTCGGATGCGTTGAAGACGCTGTCGTCAGACAAACAGCTTGTTGTGGAGAAAGAGACGATCAAGGAACTAAAGGAAGAGCTGCGCGACTACCAGGAAGATGTCGAGGAGCTGCGTGAAGTGCGGCAGGTGGTCAAGGAGCCTGTGCGCGAGAGTCGAGCTGCCAAGCTTCTTTATAATCGTGTCAACAAAATGATCTCGCAGCTGGATACTGTGCTTAACGATTTGGAGCATCGCCAGCAACAGATTAAGCAGGTGGATACCACCGATCAAGTCGTAGCTGGTGCCCCCAATCCTTGTCAAATGGTGCACATAGACGAACTGGTGTCCACCATCAGACGTATGAAGGAGGCCTCCGATGAGGAACGTTTCAAAGTCGTTGAAGATTTGCTGGTTAAATTGGATGTCGACAAAGATGGTGCAATTTCAGTCAATGAGATTACCAAAGTGGTGCAAAGCATTGACAGCAAGGCAACTAAAATCGACAAGAAACAGCTCGAAGAGTTCACTGAGCTGCTTACCAAGCAGGCAACTAAGCGACGCAACGAGGAGATCGTCCATATTGATGACCTTATGCTGAACATTAAGAAACTGAAGGAGACCAGCGATGAGGCACGTCTCAAGCACATCGAGAGCGTGCTGGACAAGTTTGATGCAGACAAGGATGGCGTCGTTACAGTCAACGAAATACGCAAGGTATCTAATTGGTTGCCAAGTACCGTGAGCTCTAATTAACGTTATGTAAACTTACAGGTTTTGGAGTCTATTGGTCGCGATAACATCAAGCTTAGCGATAAGGCCATTGAGGAACTTATAACTCTGCTGGACAAGGAACAGATACTGGAAGCAGAGCAAAAGATCGAGAAGGCGATTGCGAAGAGCATGAAGGAAGCAGAGAAACTCAAAATGGAGGTGGAGAAAACCGACAAGGATATGGCCAAGCTTGTAGATGGTATACATGATTCTGCAAAGGAGATACGTGATATAGCCACCGAACTAGGGGCAATGGATCAGGACAGGGCCAATCAGCTAAAGACGGAAGTAAATAATCAGTACTTTAGAATACAAGCGGATATTGTTTTAATTTAATTGAGTTTATTTTTTATTACAGCCCGAAGTGAAGGACGCTGCTAAAACTTTAAAAGATAATGCCAAGGAGCTGGGCGATTTGTTGGCGAAAGGCTCAAAGAACAACAAAAAGGGACCAGATTCGCCCCTAACGCCCCCCAAAGTATCAGGCGGTACTGGCCGCAATAGCAGCACTAGCAGCAGTATCAGGGCCAGCGACGTAGACAACAATAATTCAGCCACAAAGGCTGCATTACGTGAAGCGGCTGAGCGCCAAATAGAGAAGCTATTGCCAGATAACGATATCGATCTGCCACCAACGATACCCACACCAACAGCGACCCAGTCAAAAGTTGCGACCTCACCAAAGGCGGCGGCGAATAGCGCTTCCGGTTCGGTCGCCCCCAAGAAATTGATCTGACCGGAAAAGCCACAGGCGAACCCGTTAATTAAGATTGAACCGAAGCTTACCCAGAGCAAGCCTGGGGAAAAATAGGCCGGCTATCTACCCTACGTCCATAACTATTTGATTGCGATTCTATTTATTATATTATTATCACAAAAAGTTAGCTAGAACAGCAATTCCATAGAAAATGTATTTAGATTGATCCTAGGAGGAGCTCCTATTCGCGAGGCTGTATTAAGTATGTGTAACAAAAAATTGCACAACTCAGATACTATTTACTATAAATACAATCTTTTACCATTTGGGTATCATAAAAACAGCAAATATCTTAAAATATTTACTTTCTTTTTTTTTTACCGCCCTAGTTTTATATGTACTCATCCGGTCAATCAACTACTCGGCTCTACAATATTTGCAATTGTGATCATTAAGCGAAATCTTAATTTACGATTTATTTCTAATACACTCTTATTTAAAACGAGAAAAAAACACAAGGCAAACGATTTGAAATCAGATGAAAAATTTGGAGCGTAATCACCGACTTACGAAATACGAAAAAAAGGAAAAAATCAAAACCACGTGATACTTTATTTTTAACAATAATAAATGTATGCTTAAAGTGTTTTGCAATAAGAAATAAAGTAAAAACAAGTTAGTATACACATAAATTATGTACATTTGAATTTGCAACCTTCACTATTAGGATACCCTGTGACATCCGATGTGGAGAATAATTCTTAATTGTTTTATGGCGTGGTCAACTTTCCTGTTTGTTCGTCCATTAATATAAATATCATACGCTCAGTGTTTGATGTTCAGTAATGTTCTTATTAAATGGCACTCATAAAAACCAAATAAAAAAACACCATCAAACTGAATCTCGTGTTTTATTTTTTGTGGTTTTTGTGAATGTTGTATTGCGTACAAATTTTCAAATGTTTGAAATGGCACTCATTAATACCTTCCTCAGAACAGAAATAATTCTGGTTTTAAATTAAAAAAAAGACCATTTAAATAGTTTCAAATTCCTACTTGAATTCTTTATTAGCTCCAAGTACATAAGCGGTATAAGCGCACAGTTCTCTTTATTTAACCAATCTCAGTCCTTCATTCGAGCTAGCTGTGATTCTCTTTTAGCAACCGCAAAACCAAATTTTACAACGGCTGGAGGGGATGAGGGCGATTCAACCGAATAAGTTTTGAGCAATTGCCAAAAAACGTAGAAAAGAAAACAAAACAATAACAGTATCCATATGCTGGGCAATAAAACTAATAAATATTACCACAAAATGTGCAAAAACTCCATAACTTTGCAGCTAAACCACTGACCCATAAATTCTCTTGAAATTTTACTCGAGAAATTTAATGCACTTCGGCTAGGGCATGGTATTTGGATTAGAGGTTGGCAGAGATGCGGTGCGGCAATAGCAATTCAAAAATTATGATTTACCCTTTCAATTGCTCTGCAATTACCCGATGACATACCAATTACCATTCCCATTTTAACAGAGTAAAACAATACTTTTGCGTCCAGCCTTACAGATATTCTGTACGGTCAGCCAACTCTTATATTGCTTAACTGTTATACTGGCTGCTTGCTGAAATACTGTTAGGTACTTAGGCAAGGTTATTGTTTCAGTGACTGTTATATTGCTGTTATATTGTTAAGTGCATAGCTAAATTTACTGTTCCAGCAACTGTTATAGATAATGGTAATATACTATTAAGCTGACTATAATATATTATGCAAAGTAACTGAGTATTATACGTGATGCTTTTATACTGTTATATCATTTTTGCTGGTATACTGCTACACTGTACTGTTACACTGTTAGACTACTAAGCCCTTAGCCTAATTAACTGTTTCGCTGTTGTGATGTTGTTATACCAATATGTGGGATATGTAGTATATAGTAATAGGAAGTAATAAGTCCACTTAATGATATACTCCGTGCAGATACTCTGCTATAATTTGTTACTACTTACGATACTAATAAAATGTTGTACTGACCAGAACTACAGATCACTATTTTTACTGTCAGATAGACTATTATACTCACTGATATAATTCCTGTCATATTGCTTATTATACTGACTGTCGTACTGTTATAAGTTCAGCTTCCCAATCATGGCAATCATGCTTTAGATTTAGCTGTTTTTTAGTCCCTAGTGATCTGAAGACAATCAGTATTGTTCCAATCATTTACGAATCCCTGGCTGAAGGGCCGATGACAGACAGCGAACAGAGCTAAGCAATTGTGTAAATATTGGATACTCAAGTTTGGCCTTGGATGATATGGAATACAAATAAAACTCGCAGGATGCAACAAATAAGACTGAAATAAAATGTGTTTAAAGGTAAATAAAAGCATGAAAATTTGTGAAACAAGCCAAATAATAATAAACTTCAGCTCCATTGGGAGCTGCGGGCCAAGTGAGAATTGTTGTTTGCAATCAGGCAATACTCAACAATAGCAACACCAGGGGCACGAGGCGACGAGACGAGAGTGGCATTTGTAAAAGGATGGCTGGCTTACAACTAGTTCTACCACGTGACTGTCCAAGGCGAGCGGGAGTGGGGAGGACAGTGCCAAAGTTTGTCCGTCTAAATGTGCTTGAAGTGCAACAATGACATTCGAAAGCTGCCTTGAATTGCAGACAATCAGCGTGAAGCCGTAGCAGACGACAAGCAAATTCAAAGTGGTTCCTCATGAAATAAAGTTAATAAAGTGGATAGACAGAATGCCATGCATATGCTGGCTGCTCAACTCTAGCTCAATTAAATACGGCTGCAAAACGAAGCACAAATGCTACAACATAATTCAAAACTTGTGTACTTTCATGAGTCAATCAAAATCAAAAGCTTCCGAGACCCGCAATAAGTAGCAAAACACTCCGAGACGACTTCGGTACTTGGATCAATTTAAATGCCCGACGCACCATAGCACAAAATGCCATGCACTAACCGCATATAAAAATCGCTGATAGAGCACAAAAGGGGCGCAGGAGTAGAAAGGTTGTGCTGGTTGTTGGGTCTTGGAAGTCCGATGGCTGACCCAAGTAAACTGCAATAATATAAAAATGCTTAATATGTTGCCTGTTTGATAAACTAATGCTAGCTTATTTATACAAGTTTAAATATGGGCTTGTTATCGGTTCTTAAGTATTTGTGTTTATTCTACCTAATTTATTTCAAGTTATCGTTAAAAGCAGAGCAAGTTCGTCATTAATGTGTATTAGAAAATGTTCGTTCGAATTCCTTTCAATTTAAAGAACTTCTGAATCATTGAATGAGTGACAAAAATAATGATTAAAGCTAAATAATTCAATTATCCTGGATACTATCATATCTGAATATGTTGGCTCACACGCTGTCTGAAGTCAATATGCTAAACAACAGGTTCTTCCAACATCAAATGCATATATATATTCTATTTAAGAAGCTATATGTCAAGTTTGGGGACTCTAGCTCTTATTATTTACCGGACAGACAGACAGACGCACAGGGTATAACAGGGTGACTCTGGATAAACTGTGCTTATAACGCGGTGCAGCAAAGTTTACTGAGTATAAGCGTGTATTTTGCTGGTTTCTTTTATTATAATATATTTTAATTATATATGTTTATATAAGTATATATATACATCATCAGTATAAATATGAAAAAGTTACACTTTCTAAAATTTTGGTTCGATACAAGTTAGAATATGACAAGACTTTTTAAATGGGGTTTGGTTACAAAACGCAGAAAAGCCGTAGAAAATAGCGCAAAATATTTAAAAAAAAAATTGTGATATTTCCAATAAATGCGGATTACTTTGGATATTGGATAGTCAAGATATGACAAAAATCGCCAAAGACGATCCTAGCCAGTTTTTCGCCCTAATTGACAGCGTCCTTGCGATGGAACCAACCGTATCGCCAACTGGTTGCCTCCGGATAATTGTACTTAGCATCAGGGGTGTGTGCGTAGCGCGTCTCCAAATATGTTGTACGTTGTCCAGTTTTCAGCAGCTGCAGCTCCTCAGCTGGCACAGATTTCATTGGATTGTGATATTGGCCAAAATAGCGTTTCTCCTCCTTGGATAGGTCATAGTCAAAGATTTTGGAGGCGGAGGGGCGAAAGACGCGTTTGCTCAATGGAAAGGATTGAGAGTTCCTAGGTAACGTGGCAGCTTCTGCGCGCATTCTTGACGAAACGTTATTTGCAGACTTAATTTTAAGCCTCTGTTCGCCTTCAGATCCAGTGCAGCTGGTTGTTGATTTAGCTGGCGGCTTAGTGGGCTGCGGTTCCGGTTGAGGCTTCACTTGGTTCCTCGGCATTGTTGCCGACGACTTTGTGCCGGGTTTAAGCTGGTTGCTTGACAAGTCAACAGCTGCTCCCATTCTTGCGGATCTCACAGGCATTATTGTTGTTGCGGGCGGGGTCTTTGGCTGATTCGGTTTGCTGGCAACTTTGTTTCGCGTACTTCGAAATTTGGCTGTAACTTGTTTATTTAGATTGCTAAACATTGTTTGAATGTGGAACAGATAATGAAAACACAAAGCAGATTTGAAGAAATTAAACAAAAATAAATGGGTTACTCAGTTAATGATGTATAATATATATATATTTTTTTTGTGATAGGAATCTTTAGTTAGAATTGATTGCTGATACTCAAATCCTAAGAGCTTGAATGAATTTCATTCAATTTTTGCCTGAACGACATTTAAAACTCTACATTCAAAATGTTTCAATTGCATAATGGCTAGAAAAGCTGATATAAATATTTTGAATGCTTAAACTATTTCTACTTAATTATATTTTACTCAATAAGTCGTTCGACTCATATCGAAGTACTTTGCACAGCACAAACATAAATCTTTGAAAATTCATATTTTTATTAGAAGTCAACGATAGAAACTTAACTTAATTTTTGCATTTTGCGACATTTTTGATTCCAATTACAAAAAACCAGAAGGCTTACCGCCAGGTGGAATCCTTGTCTCTGTTCACCACACAACATACTGCTTATAGCCAAGAATGATTCCTGTAGATCCCATTAACCATCAGCTGCCTCTGGCGATATGGAAGTTGAGTTAAGAGCGAACTTAGTAGACGGTGGCTCTTGTGCAGCAAGCTGAGAGTACAGTTCGGCTTTCTTTTTAGCCACATTGGTATTTTGCTCCTCGACCTTCGGCTCTTCCTTGCCCTCAATACGGTCATAAACGAAAGGCGGTCGCAAGGGCGTGGCTACGAAACGTCCATAGCCTCCAGAAACACGAACTGATCCCTTCTCGGCACAGATGCGTCCGCGCACCAAAACATACTCCGGAACACCATGAACAGTCATGCCCTATAAGGTTGGAATATAGTCATGATTAAAGGATTGCAATATTGGACATAAGTGCGTCTATAGCTACCTCAAAAATATTGAAATCGCCTGCATGATGATGTGTGTCTTTGGAAATGGTGCGTGTCGCCTGTGGATTCCAGATAACAATGTCGGCATCCGAGCCGACGGCTTTAAATAACAATTTTTTATTATATAAAAGGTAATTAAATTGATTTTATATATCAAAATTTACCGATAACTCCCTTCTTTGGGTAAATATTAAATATTTTGGCGGCATTTGTGCTGGTTACGGCCACGAATCTGCACGGATCTAAGAGACCCGAATGTACACCCTTCTCCCACACAACCGACATACGATCCTCCAGCCCATTAATGCCATTAGGTATCTTGGTAAAGTCTCCCAAGCCAAGTTGCTTTTGTTTTTTGGTAAACGTGCAATTATCACTGCCTGTTGTCTGAAGAGCATCGCTGCGAAATATAGAACATGCTAATATAACTTGGTTCTAGGGCCTCAAAAGTCGGGTTCAGTAGAAACGAAAATAAATCAAACACAAGTGAGAAGTTTTTGAGCCTAAATCTTTTCATACCTGGCCAGCAGCTTCATCAGGAACTCGGGAGTTGTTTTGTCGGGTCTCAAGGGTGGGCTCATCACATGACCGGCCGCATGGTCAAAATGCTGGCAGCGATAGTTAGTGCCATCTGTACCAAGTCCAGATGCCAAGGTCTCACCAAATATATATTTCTCACTATAGCGTTGACGGGCGCGAGCTATCTCAATGCCAGCTGATTTGCTCATCACGTGGACCACATAAAGTGGACAATCGACCTATAATAAAATTTGAAATTTTAATTGAATGTAAACTGTAAAAGTTTGTTGTCTGATGTTAATTGTATATCCGGTAAGAGCTATTCCAAAGCAGACCCCGAGGATGAAATTGATTTCATCTATGAGAATCAGCAAGGTTTAGTTATCTTCGCGTGAAAACATGCGCGTTTAACATTTAAGGATTGTAGGGTAGTTTGGCTCCACACACCTGATGAGCCAAAATGCAAGCACGATGAACGGCCTCAGCCTCAACTTCCTCCTGCCTCGACAACTCGTGCCCCTCGGGTCCAGTTATGCCCTGGGCTAGCAAACGTTTTTCATTCTTGGCAATAATATCACCATTCTCAGCATGAACCTGAAATAAAATTAAAAATAATATATAAAATGTTGACTAATAGTATATTCAAACTTTAATCTGAACTTACCATAGCCACGGCATTTAAGCTTCTAATGCGCTCAAAAACATCCAACAGCTCCGAGTCGTTCAGCTGGTACGTTCCCTTGTAGGCCATATAGGTCTTAAATGAATTTATGCCCAACTCTTTGCAGAGTACGCCGATTTCTTCGGATACCGAGTCGGACCACCAAGAGAGGCCTATGTGCAGTCCGTAGTCACAGCAAACCTTGGGATCAGCCCAGCTGCGCCACTTGTTATACGCCTCGATCATAGAATCATTTCTTTTGGGCAATACAAAGTCAACTAAATTGAAAATAAAATCATGGTATGATTCCCAATATTCGACTATAGTATAGGGAATAATTACTTATCATGGTCGTGCCACCAGCTACAGCCGCTTTGGTTCCATGATAAAAACTAGTTTTGATGCCAAATATATTAATATGTTTAATTAACAATTGTAGAACTTTGGGATACTTACTCATCGACGGTCACCGCATTGTCAAAGGGCGTTTGCAAGTGCGTATGAGGATCAATGCCACCTGGTATTATCAGCTTTCCGCTAGCATCGATTGTGTGCACTCCATCTGGTATCGTGATATCAGCAGCGGGTCCCACGAACCTAAAGGTAGTTAAGTTAATTCACTTTGAATACTTTTTTGATGCTTAATGTATTTTATTGCATACTTAATGATTTCATCCTCTATATAAACATCAGCTTTAAAGGACCGGTCGTGGTTGACAACTTGGCCATTTTTTATATAAACACGGTTCTGGGGGCTTTGAGTCTTATCACTGTTTGACATGTTAATATATTATGAGCTAAAACAGAAAATGTTATGATTAATATTAAAAAAAAAAAGATATAAATTCTATTTAAATTAATCGAAAATAAATATGTTTATGATGTTTTTAATTAAGGTATATATAAACGTAGTTTCTACTGCTTTAATTTCAAAATTTGCATAACATATGCATAAAAGTTTCCAGATTTGGGAATCATTTAATTTTCGCAGTATATGATCCAACTTATATAATTTTGTTTGTTTTTTTTTTTCGTTTTTCGACTTATTAAAGCAAAATTTGACGTAGATAAGCAAACAAGTCTCCAACTTTGATTTTAGCATAAAACCTGTGCTTTCAAAATAAAAATAGTACTTTACAAGTTGTAGATATTAAAATGGTCAAATCAATAAAAAGCAAACTTTAATCTAATTTTCATATTATAATATTTTTATTTAATTTTAAAGACACGGTCGTAAACTGGCAAAGCTGGAACCTAATTCATCATTTATTCCTTGTGAAAATCTTAATCCAGTTTACCGATTATTAAGGCCTATAATGAAGTCTTAGATCTTTTCACTTTTGTATTTTTGTTAACAATTGTTAACAGATTGAAATAGCGACTCATTTAATTACGATAAAACCTTAGACTTTCCAGTTAACAATCCAAAAATAGTTAGTCAGTTATTCATAAACTTTATGTTAATTAAAATAGGCGGAGGCTTACGCAAATTGTTGTGTTCTATGTGAAGTCACTTTAAAGAGAATCTTAATAATATTTTTAAGAACTAAATTATAGTAAGATTAAAGCATTATCGCGGAAAAAGAAGGCACGATTTGTTGCGCAGTGTTATTTAGTGATGTTAGTTTAATTTATTCAACTCGACGATAAGAAAAGAATATCAAACAAACAAATATTGAATTATACGTAAACTAAAAACAGTTCTGAGTAGAGCCATCTGAGTAAAATTAACAATACATTCTTCAAAAGTGATAAATATTTTTGCACAAGGATAAACGTCATTATCAGGTTTAGTTTTATAACTATAATTTGATAACAATAACAGTTAAATGAATATAAATATTATATAAATTAATAAAAATTCACATCTTTTAGTACGCGAACGTTCCGGCAATACTATAGTTATAATTTATTTATATTATCTTAATTGCCATTAATATTGGTTATACTTCAAGAATTCAAAAGGCGGCTTCAGAGCATCGACCGCACAATAATTTTGTCGGGTCACACCCAAATATACATATACGCATATCCATTTTGTTTGCACATTTGAGTCAATGTATGATAGCTCGGGAAATAAAATAAAACACCACTTAAATACACAGCAAAGGCAAAGTAAATTTCTCTAGGTGCTTAAGTATTCGCATTTAACATGTAGTTGTAAATATATTAAGATTTATCTCTTTTTGCTTACCTTTAAGATTTGAGAGTTTTGCGACTGCTTCCGACGAAAACGTTCAACGACTAAAGAATAAGTGCGGGCCCAAGATACTTTTAAGGCCAAGTGCACTGTTAACCATCTGTTATGTTATGCTATGTGTTATTCTAACATTGCAAGGGTTGTCGATAACTTATCGAGATCAGATATTTTGAGTTGGCGCCAAATTGTAAGAATTTTTATAAGCTAGCATTATCGTTAGGCCAATTAAAACAATTAATGTCAATTTTTGATATAGTACGTGGATTATCTTGAAATGTAAAGTAGATGTAGGGAAAACAGCCCTGTGCCAGACATACATACTTTACACTATTCTGTAAAATATTTAATGCTTTTCTTTACCATACTAGAAAATAGGTAAATATATTCTTAACCTTTAATGTTCTTTCACAAGCTTCTCCAAACGGCAGAAGGAATTGGAAATTTCTTGATCAGCGTCAAGCAATATGCCTGCCTGTATGTAAAATGAATGCGTCGTTCGCAGGACTTTAAGGAGAGATTTTAAATTACGAAAACTATCAGCTTTTTACCGTATCTCTAAGTTAAAAGAGCTAGAAACAAATAAAATAAATATAAAACTTGTTGCAGCATGCATACATATATATTCTCATATGTATATTAAATACAAGTCAAGTACAAGAATTTATCTTAAGTTTTCTATTTTGTGACATTCATAATTTCAATTACCAAAAACCCGTAGATTTACCGCCTGGTGGATTGTTTACTTTGATGGATGAGCGTACGCCCGATGTATCCAGTTCCTCTGAAATAAAAATGTATTAAAGTGAAAAATAGTTTCAGTTTATTATTACACTATTACACTTCACTACACACCGCTTATTGAAAAGGATGATTCCTGTTGATCCCGTTTGCCATCAACGCGTCCGCGCCCACTTGGAGTGTCGTTTCGAGCTGCCTCTGGCGACATGGGTATTGGGTTACCAGAGAAGATAGCAGTCGGTGGCTCTTGTGCGCTGATGTACGAATCCAGTTCGGCTAGCTTTTTGGTCGCATTGTTGTTTGGCTCCACGGGCTGGTCCCTTGGCTCTTCCTTGCTCTCAATCCTGTCATAAACAAACGGCGGACGCAGGGGTGTGGGTATGAATCGTCCGAAACCCTCTGCAACACGAATTGATCCATTTTCGGCGCAGATGCGTCCACGCACCAGCACATACTCCGGGACACCATGAACAGTCATGCCCTTTAAGTTAGTTAGAATAATATACATTGTTTAAGGGTAGAAATAAGCGACATGTCTATTATTATTATATTATATATTATAGTTACCTCAAAAATATTGAAATCGCATGCATGATGATGGGTATCCTTTGAAATGGTGCGTGTAGCTTGCGGATCCCAGATAACAATGTCGGCATCCGAGCCGACGGCTTAAAATAAGAGTTTTTATTTTAAAATGTTAAAATGAATTTCAGATGATAATTATGTTTAATTTATATTTTCAAAAACTCACATATTCTTCCCTTTTGTGGATAAATGTTAAATATTTTGGCGGCATTTGTGCTGGATATGGCCACGAATCTGCACGGATCCAAGAGACCTGAATGTACACCCCTTTCCCACACCAGGGACATGCGATCCTCAACACCATTTACACCATTTGGTATTTTGGTAAAGTCTCCCAAGCCGAGTTCCTTTTGTTTCTTGTTAAAGGTGCAATTATCACTGCCGGTTGTCTGAAGATCATCGCTGTTAAATTAAGAAAAGTAATTTTTGTTATTAGTTTCAGAATATTAAAAACATGCCTCTTCTATGTAATTTCGAACTTTATCATCAAGTACATGGTATTTTTATATTAATGCGAAAATATAATAAATGCAAGCGTATACTCACTACGCCAATGACTATATTCAAACGTTCTTGGCGTTTCACTAGAAATGGGTTGATTCGGCAAAGGATTTGCTGGGTACGCCGGGAGCATCTCAGAGCAAATTTTGCATGAACATAAAGATATTACAACAGTTTCAAATCAGGCTTAGCTTGTGAGCTTCCATCGTGTTTAACGACTTGGGTTTAGTAGAAATAAAAAACAAACTAAACTAAAGTTAGTAAGAGTTAGACCACATGCTCTAGTGTTTACTCACTTGGCTAGCAGCTTCATCAGGAATTCGGGAGTTGTCTTGTCGGGTCTTAGAGGCGGACTCAGCACATGAGCCGCCGCATGATCGAAATGCTGGCAGCGATAGTGGGTGCCATCTGTACCGAGAGCTGCCGCTAAGGTCTCCCCAAATATATATTTCTTACTATAGCGTTGACGAGCGCGAGCTATCTCAATGCCAGCCGATTTGCTCATCACGTGGACCACATAAAGTGGACAATCGACCTATAATAGATAGGTAAATAAAAAAGGAATTACATGTAGGTGTCAACAGTTTATGTTTGTTGTTTCATATTCATTATATATCAGGTAAAAGCTGTTCTAAAGTATACCCAGAGGATAAACATGACTTGACCTAGGATAATGATAACAGGTAATCTTGCTTAGCTCCACTCACCTGATGAGCCAAAATGCAAGCACGATGAACGGCCTCAGCCTCAACTTCCTCCTGCCTCGACAACTCGTGCCCCTCGGGTCCAGTTACGCCCTGGGCTAGCAAGCGTTTTGCGTTCTTGGCAATAATATCACCATTTTCAGCATGCACCTGAAAAGAATTGAGGCATGAATTATCTGAACAATAAATTATAATGATTTGATATATGTTCAATTTACCATAGCTACGGCATTCAAGCTTCTAATGCGCTCAAAAACATCCAAGAGATCCGAGTCGTTCAGCTGGTAAAGTCCCTTGTAGGCCATAAAGGTCTTAAATGAATTGATACCCAACTCTTTGCAGAGTATGCCGATTTCCTCAGCTACCGATTTTGACCACCAAGTTATTCCCACGTGAAGGCCGTAGTCACAGCAAACCTTGGGATCAGCCCAGCTGCGCCACTTGTCATAAGCCTCGATCATGGACTCGTTTTTGTTGGGCAATACAAAGTCGACTTATATTGAAATAAAATTTCAAATCTTGATTGCCAATTTTCGAATATAATATAGAGAATACCTACTTATCATTGTCGTGCCACCAGCTACCGCCGCTTTGGTTCCATGATAGAAACTAGTTTGATTAGAAAATATATGTTGGTATAAAAGCAAATTTAAATGTTACAATATTTTGGGATACTTACTCATCGACGGCCACCGCATTGCCAAAAGGAAGTTGCATATGCGTATGGGGATCAATGCCACCTGGTATTATCAGCTTTCCGCTAGCATCGATTGTATGCACTCCGCCTGGTATCGTAATGTCAGCAGCGGATCCCACGAATCTGCACGGAATTGAGTTAATGTAATGTTGACATTTTCTTGTAGTTTAATTACATACTTGATTTTGCCATCCTCTATATAAACATCCGCTTTAAAAGACTTATCGTGGTTGACAACTTGGCCATTTTTTATATATACACGATTCTGCGCGCTTTGTAGATGTATGGGCACTTTTTTGACTGGCGTCGGACTGTTTAGCATGGCGATAATACACTATGAGCTATGAATTATATTGAAATATATATAAATTGATTATTTATAAAAGAATACAAAATAAATACATATATCAAATAAAAATCAAAGGAATACATTGATTATAAATTCACGCTGATTAAGCTAGAATTTCACAATATTTACTCCGTTTTGAAGTTTCTAAATTATAAACCTAATCGGATTTATTTACAAAAATTAAATACGTTTGTCCTATTTATCACATATATGCTTTACTCTAGATTTGGTGCAGCTGCGTTCATGCGTGCCTTAATATATAAAAATACACTTAGCATTTGCCAGAATCTCAAGTACCCGAATATCTAAAACAAAATGCATTTATGACGATTTGGGTAGCTGTAAGTAATAAAAGAAAGTGGAGTAGTAAATTGTAAAATTTCACTTGTCTCAAACTAGTTGTCAGTAGAGGACCTATTTAGGTAACAATGAGTTTACATTTTGAACATGTAGCAGCAGCATAAATCGGACTTATGCTTAACATATGTACCCATGAATATACATCCATATGTATTCAAGCGGCGTGCAATAGCAAGATTCTAGTTTTGTCGTAGGTATAAATAGCTGACTCTACAAAAATGGAAATAATTATCAACGAACCGGCCACATGTGAATAATTACACACATATGCACACAACTATACATATACGCAGGTCCAAATATGTATGTACGTATATGCCAAACAAGTGCGAAAAACATTACTCTCTGACCCACTCTTTATGTGCGATGTAATCACTAGACCTAAAGGCGTTTTGTATTAATTTGTACAACAATAACACGAATATAATCACATGAACATGTGATATTTTTTTTACCAATCACAAGTTTAGAAAGCAACGGTACCTATTTAGAAATTAGTTAATAAATTTTAAAATTTTATGGCTGTTCATAGGTATTTATAGCATATACATTTTTCTGTATGCCTCGGCATATTGAGAAAAACACTTTAATACGTAGTAAGGGCAATGCAATAAAATAAAACTTTTTGCTTTAGGTTCAAAGCGTTCATTGTATGTAAGATGAAGCTTTTCTTTTATTAAAATATTTCTTATATTTTTTACCGTTAAGCTTTGAATGTTTTGGGAGTTTAAAAGTCCACAAATCGGGCAACACACAACCGCTTCTGACGAAAATATCTGATAAGACTAATAAAATAATGTTAACGCCAGAGTCTGTTAAGCTCAGGTGAGCTGTTAAAATGCTGTTATGCTAACGCGGCTAAGGTAATCGATAGGTTATCGAGATCAAGCGACTTCATAGGCGCCAAGTTTGAATTTTTTAATTATTTGCATTAGGTTAATCTTAACAATCACGTATAATATAGAATTTCCTAAAAACGAACATTTTTAATGGCTTTACATTCTTGGCCAAAGGCAATCTTTATTCTCAATAAATGTCAATTTTGATATTTTTTGCGCTATAATAATCCCTATTGTAAACGGGATTTATGTTTATATTCAATTTTTTCACTAGTGTGAAAATATAAAGTGGATTATACAGAGATAGCTGCCAGGCCACAGCTATGTATATACATACTACATATTCTTTCACCTTTTTATTGGCTGTTTTTTTTTGTTATTCCTTTGTTTGGTTGTGTGCACAACTCGAGTCCACAGGAAGCGGAGAAAACCCAGTCAGGCACCACACACTGGCCATAAAAATTTCGCAGATATGTCGTTCAGCCGTGAAATGTTTATATGCATGTGGGTCGCGTGTCCTTCTGCGGCGAACAGTTACAATTGCAGAGCTTGAATTGAAAAATGAAAACTGCATATATGTAATGCTCGTATCGAAACCAACCGAAATCCAAAGCCGATCTGTGGCACTTTTGTGTGGCATTGACTTGTGGCAAATACCTTAAAGAGCTCTCCCACTTAATGCCCCAGACTATCGCGCTCTCTGTCTGTATTTTTCCTCAGATAAACCTCAAGTGGCTGTTTCCCATTGCTATGCTGCGTTCGTCATGGCCAGAAATCCCTTTAGCTTATTTAGCCGTTTAGTTAAACGCAATTTTGTCGCTTTTTTTTTCCTTGCTTCCACCTGTTCACACCTGCCCGACTGCTGCATAAATTAAACGATAAGTTGACTCTGTTCTTTTCATTGTTTTAGCATAAACGAAGAAATTCATGCTGGAATCGAATCCCAGTTAAGCATTCCAATGACAGCTATGATAAAGTGTTCACTTCTCACGATTGCCTGTTAACATTAGCCCTATGCATGTACCATATAACAGCAGTAATATATATATATATATATTCGAGAATATTTTTACAGTAGACTTTCACTGTTTAAGGTGTTGGTCGGAATGAGAGAATTTTTCAAATAGAATCCAAATATAAAAAAAAAAAAATTAATTAATTCATATGTTTTTGTCATTATTATATGTTTGTAATTATTATATATAAATAATAATAAGGAAGCACAGCACCTCTTTTGGGAAACGATTATTATTAACTGTTTTTTATCGGACCCCTTTGGAGCATTGATAAGAATCATATTTTATGCCAATTATAAAGAGGTTGATTTAACTTAATATTTTGTTGATCCTCCCATTTTGGTTTATTTTCTGATTTACTCGCAACTTCAATTTGACATTAGCGATTTGAGAGCAGCATCTAAAACGACAGCTGCACTCACAATTTATTTGACGTGTCTTGACCATTAGTGAAACTTCTTTTTCCTTTCGACTGAGTTGATTCACTTCCATTTCCATTTCCATTTTCGATTTTCAGGCAGCATTTTTATCTATCAATGCTCGTGAAGCGCCGCGTAGCTATTGCCATTAATTTGCGCGACATTTGTTGCCATTTGGCTTTTAGTTCGCATCTCAATATCGCGAACGGGTATCTCCAGGATAAGGGGGCTCGACTGCCTGACTGATTGCAGTCTGCGTTGCACTTTACAGCAATTGGTTGCACTTTACGCTGAGTTGGAGAGCTCTGAGTTTTATTTAAGCTTGCTGTTAAGTGCAATTTTAAGCTTTTAGTCTGTCGCACAATGGAGCTCAATAAACTATTGAAACTTAAAAGTTGGTGCTCTTGATAACATGACATTTTAGTTTGATTTTTAGACATATCAGCAGGTATTTTTTATATGTCATTTAAGTAAAGGCATAATATTTTCTAGTTGTCAGATATAGATGTTAAGTTTTGTTCCTGTGCCTGTTAATTTATTTATACAGCCTTTTAACAGTGGTTTAAAATGTTAATTGTTGGGGAAGTAACATGGGAAGGTAAACATTTTTAGAAATAAATCTTTTTTCCTTTTATTTTCTAAATGCCAGCTTTTCCGTATTTTTCTTCAAAGGAAGGTTGCTTTGCACGTTAACAGCAAATTAAGCATTTCTATTGGCAAAACTTATTTACGGCTTAGACTTTTGCTACAGTTGAAGCCAGCAATAGTTGTTCCAATTAGATTGAGTATAAGTATTGGGTAAATTGAATTTTAGCACACGTATTGATTAAGAGTTCGACACATTTCAGAAAACTTTGATAGCTCCTGTCAAACTTGGGCGCACAGCCTGCGGTGTTCTGGATACATGACTGGCCAGGAATTGGACAGGACTGTTGCTGCTTGGGCGTGGGCTCGTAATAAGCTGCGTTCTGCTCAGCAGCTGTGGGCGAACGGAACCGCATCACGTTCACGTTTGTCAAGTTGGGCTCATGTCGGCGACTCGTTTATAAACACAAACGACTTAATAACTGAAAAGTGGGCAAGCTCATGGGAAAGGTCGGACCGGGGTCTGTGTACCACATACCAGTTCGTTGACACTAAATGCCACTTAAGGGGGTGTGGGCAAGGGGGCGGCAAAAGCATCTGAATACAGAACAAAGTCAACAATGCTGCGCGTTGCTAGGTTTATTAAAAGGGCTCAGGTGAATGTCTGGACGCCATTTCCAACAGCAGGTGAGTCTGAATCAGTGTCCGCCCTCTACGCTATCTACCCTGCTTTGTTTACTTAAGCGAGACCCCTCACAAACAAACACGCATACACGTATACCGTGCACATTTAAAGATTGCCAGGCGTGTCCGTTGCCCGGGCAATTGCCGCTTTACCAGCAGCTGCTTGAGTCCCGTTCCAGTCCCAGTCTATGAGTATGTCTATGTGTGGGATTTGGAGTTGGTAACTTTTGATCGATAGACGTTGCATTTTAAAGTTCATTTGCATTTTGACCGCGTCAGCTACTTTTTTGTTTATGCCTAGTTAAATTTATACTTTATATCTTCAGAAAAAAATACTTGATATTTGCCAGCAAATGAAAAAATATGCATACTCACCTAACATTCAAGCATTTAATGAATATATAACATTTTACTATTAACATTCATATATAATGTCATAGGCGGAAAATGGATGAAAAATTAAATACTAAAATTTAAGTAGTTAATAAATATATAATATATCGTTTAATTAAATTGCTTTTGGTAAAATATACACCTAATGCTTGGCTGTAAAAGTAAAATAAATACTTATATTCATTTTTTTTTGATGGAAAACGGCTGAAAAATTAAAAACCTTCGAAAGTGGAAAAACGTTGAAAAACTATATGTTAAAATTTAAGCGAGCACAGCCCTGTAACACATGCTCAAAATTTGTATAAAAATAAAGCGTACATTTAATTCGAATTTTAGCCGAGAACAGCTGATTTTATTCCCGCCATTTTTCCAAAAAGTTTTTGTTGCTAATAAACAAATTAGCGAACGCTTTTAATTAATAATCAAATAATGTTCGACATGTGATGTAAAACACGCGACTTTCGCTGCGGGGGATATGTGGTAAAATAAATGGCAAATGCTTAACTACCACTTGCCATTTACAGCTTCGCATTGCTGATCATTAATTTTCAGACACAGCATTGCAGCTGGGAGATGGCATCCGAAGTGCTCGAAACAATACTTGAAGTCGTGTTTATCCACTGTAGCGCCTTTAACTTTTATTGGTCCTTAGCTGCGCGTTCGCACAGGACGCTTAGCTAAGGTGGCTGGATGCGTAGAGGAGGCGGCAGCTGGGTTGGAGTGAGCGTAGGGATGGCATGAGGATGTAAGAAAAACAACAATCAACACCATTTGCCGCTACAAATTAAGCTTCGAGCAAACAAATCGCACTGAGTTCCCCAAGACTTTCGCATTTCACTGCTGTTTGTTCATGCTGTTGCTTGTTTTATGTGGATCTCTTGTCTGCTGCTCAATCCCCCACGGCACCCCATGGACCCTATACACCTACTGAACTCGAGTGGCTGCCCTGCGGCGAATTCGTGTTTTTGAGAAAATATTTTCGACAGCGTTCGATGTGTACTACTACTTGTATTTGGAGCTCATGGTGCCTAATCAGATGCCATTGGCATGGGCACGCTGCGTATACTTAATTTCAGCTGGTTTCTCTGGCCCAGGGCGTTCTTTATTTTAGGATGGGAGTGCTGCTTATTAAGCTATGATTGAGAAATGTTTATTTAAATTGCTTAGTGGGCTCCATTAAGTGATTAACATTTTACTTGAGTTATAAAATGTAATTACTTAAAAATAAGCAAAAGCTTTCAAGCTTCTAAATTTGTTTATACTAGTGGCATATTGAGCACATGAACACTTTAAAAGCACTTATAAATATGCCAAGCGAATATTAAGTATACTTCAAGACCTCTTGGCCTTGGTAGTTTCTAATGAGAAGTTTCTCGAATACCAATAGCAGCTCGGAAGGGAACCCTTACCTTACGCGTTGATGAAATGCTTCCATGGCAGCTGTTCTCTCTATTGAGACGAAATGTTTGACAGAAGGCATCTACAAATCGTTACCTAATTTTTATATAAACAATATTATTTTTTATAAGCCCTGCCTTGTATGGAGATATCTCGGGCTCTTTAACAGCGCTTTGTAATTGTCCGTGACATGACTTTAATAAGCTTATAAAAATAATTAATAATTCAATTATAATTTGCAGTTTTATAGTTCATTCAATTACAGCCATTGAAATTTGTTGACAATTATTTTATTATATTGAACATTTAGTTATGTGATTTCCTTGACACATAATTCGCCTAGCACTTACCTCGCAGGCAAATTTTGTTTTCAATAAGAATTCGAATTTCCGACCGAATTTAACGTATGCTGTTAAATAGCCGCAGGTGCACGTTAGCGAAATAGAAATAGTTTAAAATAATTATAGTTCTGTATAATTCTATTTATCTCCCATACCGCTAGCCATTTATTTGTTTGGCTGTCGCATTTGGCAACATGTTTGGGATCTGGATTGCGATTTGAGGAGGGCCAGACAACGCAACATTGGCACGTGTTCAATTCAACTAAGTATGCCGCCAAAAATTCGAATCCTGGTCACAAGGACTCCGGCACACGGTTGTCATAAAATGTTAAATATAAATTTATGGCAGACAACACGCTTGCGGCATACTAAACATTTCTATAGATGGACGGGGAACGCCCTCGTGGAGGGGCCGGAGCCTACACACACATTAGCAAAATTAAGCTATTTCGTTGGCCACAGATTTACAGATTTGCTCTATTGTGATGATTTCTTTTGTGGAGAATTTGCTGCCACTAAATGTGATACGATGACAAAACTAGGTTAGCAGCTATTTTGGGCTTAGAAATGGGTCTTAAATGTTAACTATTTTTGACAGCCAGTAAATTTTTGATGCCTGTTCATTTTTGGATTGTTGCTGATAGTTTTAAGTGAAATCGTTTTGGATATGTATATATTTCTATTAAATTTAGGAAACAAGGACAAGCTGTAAAAGCCAGTACCATTTCAATAATAATAAATAAAATAACATAGTTGTCGGCGCCGATGTTGATTAAATTTTTAACATTTGCTTTACTCGATATAAAAGACGTAAACATTTTCAGAAAATATAAAATTTCCATTTAGTATACACTTCAACATATATTTTATACAATGCCTGGCGGTTACGATGGGGCTGTGACAATATATTCGCCCGATGGACATTTGTTGCAAGTGGAATACGCTCAAGAGGCGGTGCGCAAAGGTTCCACAGTGGCAAGTGGCAAATTTTATTTTTCATGCTTGCCACGCATTTAAGGTCTTTTTTACTGTACTCCACAGGTGGGTCTGCGCACGAAGGACTGCATTGTGCTGGGCGTGGAAAAAAAGGCTGCGGATACCCTACAAATAGAGCGTACAGCGCGTAAAATTAAAAAACTGGATGATCATCTGATAATGACATTTGCGGGTCTCACGGCCGATGCTCGCATATTGGTGAATCGCGCCCGAAGCGAGGCTCAGAGCCATCGACTGAACTTTGAGCGGCCCGCAACAGTGGAGTATATTACACGGTGAGTGCCTTACACAGTGAGTGATCTGAACAGATCCTGAAAATGGTGCTTCTGATAGATATTTGGCGAAATTGAAACAGAACTATACGCAGAGCAATGGAAGGCGTCCGTTTGGCGTCTCCTGTCTAATAGGTGGCTTCGATGCGGATGGGCAGCCGCATCTATACCAGACCGAGCCCTCGGGCATCTACTACGAGTGGTCGGCCAATACCACAGGTCGTCTGGGCAAAACAATGCGCGAGTACTTGGAGAAGAATGTATCCGACATGGCCAGCTCGCCCGACGACGCCACAGCCATAAAGCATGTGGTGCGCGCCCTGTTCACGGCCACATCCCTGAATGCCAGCTTCTATGAGCTGGCCGTGCTCAAGCACCAACAGCCATTGGAGATGGTCAGCCCAGCGATGGTGGCTCATCTGGTGCAGGTCATTAAGCAGGAGAATGCCGAGGAGGAGGCCAAGCAAAAGCAGCGTACGAAGTCCTGATTAGTAGATATATATGATATATTTTCTTCTTTGTTAAATTCACGTTAGCCAGCGGCACATTTGTTAACCTTTCGGCCTAATCAAGACTTGATGAACTTTTTCTTTTGGCAATTTAATTTTAACCTCTGCCCTTTCGGGGCCAGCAAAAGTAATCAGCACGAAAAATCTGTAAAGTGAGCAAATCACTTAATTTGCCTCAAGGGCATTTTTATGTACTTCGAGCATCGAAAACTCCACACTCAATCCTAAACGGGCCAGTCGACCTAGCCAAACTTGGCCAGCCTTTGTGTGCGGACAGCGGATGGCATAAAAAAAGCGAGTTAAGAACTTTTAAGTGAAAATGGAAATTGAATTTGCGCCAAAATTGCATGCCGGCACAAACCTACACACACACACACACAGAAATACACTCGTTCGTAGGTTGTGGCATGTTGCCTTCCTTCTATTGGCAGCTTGTTTGTTGCCTTCAATATTTTTCAGCCATTCGCAAAACACAGATTTTACCCAAGTGGCATATTCAAGGTGTTCGTGCCTGCCTAGTTGGGGCAACTGTTTCAATCAAATGTGTGCCTTGGGTAACGCCTCGAGTTTCCCCTCAACATCTATGATGGCATACCGTACCGCAGGCATACGTGTATTTATTGGCTTGAGAAAACGAGCTGAGCTCCGATTTTTTGCAGTTGCTAACTTTGTTAATATTGATAGGCTATTGGAAATTCTTCTAAGTTGAGGTATTTCTACTTGGTTAAGTTTACTCCGAGTTTTTTTTTGTGTATTTGTAGGCGCCAAGTATTTGAAAATACCAATTATTGGCCTTTAAGCCATTTTTCGTCAATGCGTATGTATTTTGAAATACAGAGTTTCATACCAGATACACTCGAAAATAAATATTTCACAATTTTTACGGAAATGGAATTGGTTCTTATGCCGATTTTTTTGATTATCTATTCTAAATAATTTTCACTAGCTTAAAAATGCACTTCGCTTCAACTTTGGACTTTATTCGACAAAGCTTGTCATGTAAAATTTTGAAAAATGTGATTTTTTAATATCTTGGGTACATCAAGTCTGATTTTTATATGCGTGAGATTTTTAAGCTCGTGTGGATTAGGACTGTCGGTTGACATTTAAATTTGTAAGATATGCAAAAGAGTTCGGTTCTATAGAATTTCCGAATTTGGTTTGAAATGTACTTTAAAATTTCCAGAGCGTATTAATCCAAAACAAATTATGTTTATTGGGGTATTTCTTCTTTATTATAATTTCCTCGTTTAATATCTCTGTTAGCCCTTGAAACTAGTCATGCCCGCCTGCATTATCTCATCAGTCAGCAGTAGATTGCATGCGATGACAGAGCACGAGTTCAGCATTAGTTTCTTAACGCAGTAGTTATCGAAGACGCGTTTTTCCGTTGGATTCATGGGCTCTCCTGTGTCCAAATCTAGCCCGACCAGTTGCTCACTCTCCTTGGCAGCCGTCGTCAGCTTCACGATGGTGTCCTGCACATCAAAGCCGCTATTAATGGCCAAAGTTTTGGGAATTACGAGCAGCGAGTCGGCGAATAGCTGAACCCCCAGCTGGGCTTTACCCTTAACCCAGGGCTTGAACTTGACTAGTTCCTTGTAGGCATGCAGCTCGAAGGCACCTCCGCCGGGCACCAGACATCCATCCTCTATGGTATTCTGTATGGCATGGAGTCCATCGCGAATGGCATCTTTAATGGTTTCAGTCTGGTGACCCGAGGGAGATCGAATCAGTATGGTCACAGAAGTGGGATTGCGGCATTGACGCACAAACGTATATTTCGTTTCGCTTAGCTGCTGCTCATACACTAAGCCTGCATAGCCCAGATGCTCCTCGCTCAGATCCTCCAGTGAGTGCAATGCCTCGCCGCCGCAAGCACGAGTCAGTCGCTCCATGTTACGGCGCTTGGCACGACGCAGTGCCAGAATACCAGCGCCGGCAAGTGCCTCCAGCGAGGGTATATCGATGCCCTTCTGATTTATGACCACGAAGCCACGCCTATTGTTGCTGCAAAGTTTTCGCTTCAGCTCGATAATCTTGGCCACACGCTGATCGATAAAACGATGCTCCTCGGAGACGCATTTCTCACGCTCCTCGGCAGACTTGTAGCAGAAACTCGAATCGACGGAGGTCTTCTCCAGCTCCAGCGACACATTGCAGGTGAGTATGTACGCCTGCTCGAGGTATGTGGGCATGTTAGCATGCCGCCCACCATGGTCCAGCACAAGTCCTTCCACCAGTTGCGTTTCCAGTGTTGTGTATTGTTTCATGTCCATGAGTTCGATCATATTCAGATCCAGAAGCTGCTGCCTGTCGCTGCGTATGCTCAGCACAGCATCTACACAGATTTTGGCCAGCAAATCCGCCAAACTCGCGTCCACTTTGGTTCTCAAACTGGTCTGGGCTAGTGCCACTAGTATGTCGCGTTCAATCTCAACGGGCATGGAGAGCGACTGTAGCAGCTGTATGGCCTGATCCTTGGCCTGCATAATGCCATTGGTTAGCTGGCGAGGATGCAGTCCCTCCGCAATGAGCAGATCCGCCTGCTTCAGCAGCTCACCAATCAGCAGCACAGTCGAGGTGGTGCCATCCCCAGTGGCTGCATCCTGCGCGGTGCTGGCCCTGGCAATCATCGAAGCGGTCGGATGACAGAAGTGCATCTCGTGCAGCAGCACGTTCCCATCCTTGGTGATCTTGATATCGCCGGCTGGCGAGATGAGCATCTTCGTGGTGCCCTTTGGTCCCAGATTGCTGGCCATCAGTCGCTGCAGACCTGTCGCCGCCGTAATGTTAATGGCCAACGCTTGAGCGGCGCGAGCGATTTCCGCCTTGGGATTCAACAGACTTATGGCTGCCATTGTCGAGTTCTGAATAAAAAAAAATTTTCGCTACAATAATCTAGTCAACAATTTTATATATGCTTTCTTCAAGTTTTTCGACTGAAAACTACTTGCGGAGATCGAACTAGAGATATAACAAAGAGAACGTCCTGATATAAAAACTTTTTCTGCGAAGCTTGACGAAAAACTTTTCTATAATTTTTGCACCGTAATAAATCAATTTAATGCAGCTTGGCAACTCTATATATTTTTCCATGTGCACTAATTTAATGCAGTGTGGCAGTTCTTTAAATCTTAATACTTTATGCCTTGTTCTCACAGCATTTTTCGATTAATCGGAACGTGTTATTATCAATATTTTTAATATTATTGCAACTGGAAGATGGAAAATGTAACACAGTACAGGTCGCTTTATTTGGAAGGACTGGATTCGATTCACATTGGATTAAAAAAATGGTAATGCATGTGATAGCAATTTAAGTTTGAGTAATCTTTAACTCACTCAGAAGAGATCCAAAAGAACTTATAGCAGACATAATTTGAACATTGTAACTTTTATTTCAGGTTCTTTTTAGTATGGTTTAAAAGTGTGACGACATACTTATCAACTCTCGTCTGCCACATTTTCAAAGCATTTCAACATGAGGATGAGAAAATGAAACGCAATTAAGCTTAATGAAAAATTATGACATTAGACAAAATTAAAAGCTGGCGTAAAAAATGGCTGAATAAAAAATATTACAGTGACAACTCTCTTGGCAGCGACCGTAATAGTGGAAAATGTACGCTCAAAAGAAGTGTTCATTAGGTCGTTTTCACTGAAGTATAATAATAAATTCTTTTAGCTTAAGCACACTTTAGTCATGCCTCAAATCATGTAGGTTAATTTGTAACACTTCTGTTCAGATCCAAACTAAAGCGTTGTGGACTTAGGAATGAATGAAAATTATAATCACTGCTGATGAGAAATTATTTCATAAAGTTCTCATTTATTTCTACCGTTTCTCTTTTCTGTATCAACTTACACCCATTTAATATGAAATTGTATGGTCCTCAACAGAGCTGTGCTGTTGTGTGCTGTAGATTGTCCAATCAAAATCCACTTGCAGCAGGCTGCTAAGCCGTTAATAGGAATTTCTTTCAGCAGTGGCAGGTCGCACAGGACTTGAGTCCTGCCGTCCTGTGGTCTCTTTGCCAAACCAATAAGTCATGCCTTTATTATTATTTACAGTCTCCCGCCGTCTTCTCACTTGCCACTAAACTGTGTCGAGTGCCGTGTGAGCCTTGTTGCGCGTTGTTGCCTCTTGCCTAGGTGCTACTCTCGACATACCCAGAGCGGCTTGTGTTTCTCCGTTTTGCAGAGTTTCCTGATTTTTCCTGCTGCTCTCGCCCAGCACTCACACTTATCACACTTAATTTCATTAAGTAATTTTTCATACTGCAACTTTTATTGAGTTTTAAACTGGCAGAGCGCATAATGCGAGCGCACAGCCAAAGCGTGAGAAGCGAAAAGAAGGGCGACAACGGAGGGCAAAAAAAAAAGAGAAAATATTTATGTGTGTGTGTGTGTGTGTGTGTGTTTAATATTACAATTGAGCTGTGCTTGGCTTTTACCACGTATACGCCATGGGTTCTTGCTTTGCCATTGTCTGTTGCTTGCTTTTCCTTGCGCTTTTGTCCTTGCAACAGTTTTTCCGTTTGCATTTACTCATTTTATGCCTTTTGTTCGGGGCCACTTGTTGAATTTCCCTTTGTACTTGGTTTGCTTTATGTGTTGTTGTTGCTTGTGATAATTGCCGTCTCGGTGTCATTCGGCATGCTTGTATTCTCATTAATAAGAGGCCTTCTTTTCAAAATATTTGAGCTTTTCTTGGGCTCCATTATAATAAGCTTCCAGGGCAATCAAATAAATTAAAATGTTTATGACTTGATAAATTGTTCCTGTATTTTATTTATTTATTTGCTAGCTTTTTTATTATAGAATGAAATTGACTTGAATTGCATTTATGTTCCTAACCGCCATTATTATATATCTATCTTTAAAAGTTATTGCATGTGTTTTAATAAACAATTTTTAATTTAATTAAAAAAATGGAAAGCGAGATCATTTGTAAACAAGCCTTAACAAAATATGAACATAGAATTCTGTTTAACTATTCTGTTCTATGAAATCTTTTGTTTTCTGCCTAGAAAAAAATGTGTGCTTTGCCCAACTTTGCAAATGTATTTTTACAAATCCAGTTGAGTAAACAGTGGAATTCAATGAGATTTGATACTCTGTAATTTTATTATGTCTGGATGAGCATATTGCATATTTATGTAACAAAAAGTTTAATAAAATGCTGACTATTAAATGAATCCTATTATAATAATATTCAGAAAGTTCTTAATGGAAACTATAAATGATGTTAAGAAAGTTTCACCCAAAGTTAAGTGTGCTTAAGCAATTTATTAATTTTGTAAATACTTGTCTTGAAAATTTCTTTAATTAAAAATATTGGCACTAGAAGTAAAATGCAAACATTAAGTATTTTCAATTTATGTGCAGAGTATCTGCTAGTCAACTACCTTCTGGAAGTCTGTGTAGCATACTAACTTGTTATTTGTCAATTCAAATGGAATTTGAAAGGTTCACAAAAAATTGAAATGTTTTCGGCACTGCAATGCCTTACATGTAAAAAATTGCGAATTGAATTTTGAGCCAAACACGGGAGTAGTCGCCACATGCCACCCTCTTCGCCCGAGTGCCATTGTTAGCCGCACTGTCCGTCTGTAAGTGAAAAATGGAACCACAAACTATTATAGCAGAGCTAAAACTATCTGAGCCTGATGTAGGATATAAACTTCAAGCGTAGTCCCTGGACTTTTTGCAATAAAATTGTATAAATATTTAAGAATTTCTTTTTCAGAAAGATTTCGTAATACAAAATTGTTGTGATTTCAGCGCTGAGTATTTAATGAGTTAAGTTCCTTAACTTCTGTCATCTTTTGACTTATTGGTAAATATTATTTTTATATTTAAGAATAGAAGCAAATCACTTGATGAAGAAATCTTTAATATAAAACTCAACTGGTATGTGCCTGGCTCATGCTTTAAATGGCTTGACCTCCTTGGAAGCCCTTCGTTGAGAGGTTTTGGCTGGGGTCATCTTTTGGGCAATTTATGGTGAAGTGTCGTGCTTGGAATAGACGGTCAAACGGACAGATTGGCTGACCAATAAACGATCTGTGGCCACCGCTGCAAATGAGTTAAGTTTGGCGGCTGGAAAACTTTTCATAACTTTGCCAAGAAGATGCGGACCGTTGCGTTAATTGGAGCTATGGGCTTCACTAAGCGCCGTCGCGCCGCAGAATACAAAGTTTAATGGGGGAGCTGATTAACCCGTCGGGAGGCGCAGCCCAAAGATGTTGAACAGAAAAGAAAAGCGCAGCGTAATTATCTTGATGAGATTCGCCCGGGCAGCTATCAAGTCGAAGGTGACCCGTGCCCCGTTGCTGTTGGGGGTTCATCAACCCGTTGCGGGCTAAAATTAAGTTATGTGCAGTGGAACGGAACGTTTGACATGTCTCCCTCTAATAAGCTAAATGAAAACAAAAATGTCATCCAAGTCAGTCGCAAATTGACGACAAAGTAACCTAATAACTTTGCCCACACAATAATTGGAATTTATGACTCATTTTTCTACAACTATACTGCAAAAGGGCCATTGGCCTGCCGGAGGTTTCCACCCACTACTCCTGGTCAATTCACTCTCATCTTTGCACTCTCCCCAGACTCTTTTCTTGTGTTAAATAAAGCGCGTTGGAACCAATACAAGGGTTATGCCCAACGCTTTGGACTGGACCCAACCTCAAGTTCTTTCAGGCGGTGAGCAAATAGCAAAGTGATGGAAAAAAAGATGTAGAAAAGTTTGCGCCAAGTTTAAGTGCTTTTAAAAAACCATTAACGTCATTTCCTGTGCCCTCCTGTCTGTGCGAAGAGTATACAGAAAAAGAATGTCCTGGCGCGTTTAGGTAGATTTCTTTTTTACTTTGCACTCTCCCATTGGGACAAGCAGGAATACAAGATGCACTAGATGAACATAAATTTAGAAATGGCCACAACTGAGTTATTCAATCGAATTGCTTTCGGGTTTTCGACCAATTGGTTTCGGGACACGACTTGACGGTGCGTGTCAGATCTATTGTGCTGGCGATAGGGTCGATTTTAGCTTTGGCTTGAGCTAAAGGCTTTGCGGTCCAATAACGTGTCAGAGCCGGTTTTCGAGTGCTGCGTTTTGTAGATCCTGAATTAATACTGTATTGAGCTGTTGTGGACTCTTTGCCAGCCGCAATTCGTTTGGAATTGAATTTTGTTAATGTTGATTCAGATTTGGCTAGAGTGGACTCAGCTGCCTTTGGCTCGCTGGGCGGCATTTTCTCGCTGGGCACCCTTGACTCGCTGGGTTGCATTTTCTCGCTGGGCGCCGTTGGCTCGCTGGGCGGCGTTTTCTCGCTGGGCGCCTTGTGCTCGCTGGGCGCTTTTGGTTCGCTGGGAGGATATTCCTCGCCTGGCTTCATTACCTGCATAACACTTGGACAAAGGCAAGCGCCATCACTTGGTGGACAATTTTGGCAAGGCGTCGCAATCTCCTTAATGCTCGGACACTTGGCAGGTGGCAGTTCCTCCTCGTGGCAAATAAATCCAGGCATCTCCATGGACTGAACGCTCTCCATAGCGGGCAAGCCGCGGTGCTGGAAGCAGTGCATGGGGCACTCGATGGTGCAGCGCTTATACGGGCTCTCTTCGGATGCCATTTTGGTGATCTTGATGCAATTGTTAAAAATGGTGTGGCGCTCCTTCTCCTGTTCGCGTCGGCAGCCCTCGCGATGCTCGTACTTTCTGTAGGCCAGCTCCGCCTTGGAGTAGTAGCCTGGCCAGCAAGCATCACGTAACTTGCTTCTACGCACCATTTGACCCTCGGGCACCATGTCCACTTGGTTCTCCTTGCGGTATTTCGCGACAGCTTTGGCAATCGGATACAAGGGCCGACCGATGGATTTGGAATCCTCCATTAAATGGACTGCTCCCTCGAAGAAGTTAACATCGTCCTTCAGATGGGGATCTTCATCGCAAGCAGTAATGCGCATTAGCTCCTCTTGACGCTGATCCAGGAATTCCTTACGCTGGCCATGCAGTATATCGCGCAGATCGGCGGTTACCTTATCCTGTTGCTTCTTGGCGGCAGTCGCAAAATTTATGTTTGCTTCATCGTTCTTGAATCGTGTAACAATCTGGTAGCGACGAATCTCTGCAAGCCTTTCATCTTTCTCTTGCTGCCGTTTTTTACTCTCCAGCTCGTACTGCCTGCGTTGCTCCGACAGCTTCTTGATCTCACATTTCCGCCGTTGCTCATCCACGAGTACTTCGGTGGCATACCGTTCCAAAGCAACATCCTGCAAATGTTGCAGCTGTGTTTTTGCGGCCTGCTGGTTCTGGCAGAGCTGCACAGCGTTTGCCTCCAGCTGACGGATGCGGCTCTGGCGCATATCCTTCGTTTGCTTGTTGAAGCGTGCATCCATATTTCGATGTGTTGTCTTATCGACGCAGATAATTCGTTCCTCGATATTGTCACACATGCTCTCGACTATGGATTGGATTGTAGTTGGATCAAAAGGCTTATCAAATCGACTACTTTTAACTTACATTTGGCTTTCTCGGCCTTTTCCTTGAGAGCTTCACGATAGGCACTTCGGCAAAACTCGCGCTTTCTTTCGGCCGTCGCCTTGGCGGCTTTCTCTTCCTGCTCCTGCATGCACTTGTACTTCTCGCGCTGTACAATGCAGTCCAATACCTCGTGCTCCTTCATAGCCTGTCTGCGCAGACGTCTTGCTTCGAGGTCCTTCAAGTAATAATCACGCATGTCGTTCATTTTGACGAGCTGCTGTGCCTTCTCCTGCTCCTCAGTCACATGGCCAAATGGTATCAAAAACTCTGGACACTGCTTCTCGTCCAGTTGCTGCTGGCGTCGAGCATCCTCGGCAAATTCACACTTAAGCGCTTGATTGTAGTCTCGTTGGTAAATCATTTCGCTGTTGAGCAAGCCCTGGTGGAGAGCACGTGGACCTGGCTTCAAGAGGTTCAAAATTCGATTGGCACGCATGATGCGCTCCTTGCGCATCTGTTCCAGCAGCTTTTTTGCCCTTTGGTCCTTTGTCATTTCAGCCAGGACCTTGTCTCTGGCAGCCTGACGCTGGTCATCGTCCTCGCCCTGCGTATTAGCCAAGTTTTTGAAGCGCTTCATCAGTGCATCGTTACCATCTTTGAGGTATTGCCTGTACCGTTGCTCCTCCTCAATGGCCTCCAGCATCTCCTGCTTTTCTTTCTGGTTTGATCTGTCCACAATACCATTGTAGCGTTCGGCCGATATTACCACAGGCCGTAAACCAATGTGATATCTTTTGTACTGCTTGTGGCCGGGCTCTGCAGCGCATGCCCTGTTCAATTTCATTGCTAAGCCGTGAAGGATAGTGTATTATGGAATGTAAGTTGTGGGAACACCGCAATTTGCAATAATTCCCAAAAGTAATTACAATAATTGTATTGTGTTAGTGTGTAGTGTATTTTTGTGTATTTTTTTGTATTTTTACTTTATATTACTCTTTTGTGTCATGGATTACTGTTTGAAGGTATTAAGTTGCCCTAAAATATAAATGTCTTTGCGATAGGAACAAAATCATGGCAAATATTTTTATACAAATAGCCAGTAATAGTAAATAACCAGTAGCTGCTAATTTTGTTATTGCTTCGATGTTGATAGAGGGACAATAATAAACAAAATGGACTGATCTGGTCGGTTCCAATATTTATATTCATATTCATATATTTATATTATCTGAAACCCTTTAAAAATAATATAAATATAACAGGATCTTACCAATACAACTCGGCCATGAAATGTTGATTCTTGTTTAAAAATTACTTTAAATGTTCAATGTTTCAGTAAAGAAAGTGGGAAAGCGTTTACCGTTCGACTATCTTGCCCATTCACTTGGTTGTCTCCAGAATTGGATAAACCTCAATTAGTGTTTTAGGCTGCTTAATCAAATTAGGCAAAGCCCAAGGGCTTTGTACAATTCCTATTGAGCAGGGGCGTCCAGTCAGTGACCGTGTGCTGTGAAATCCAATTCCCAGCTGGCGGAAAATTATACAAAAACAAAAAAAAAAAAAATTAAATAAAAAGAAAACTCAAATGGAGGCAAAAGAAAAACACTGTCGGCCAGAGTAAAGTTGACTTTCATGCGAAAAGTTTTTTGTGAAAATCGTTGGGCGTGAGAATTTCTGCGCGCAGGATGTCGGGCTCGGGCCATTCTCGTGTGGTCCGTGGCGAAGTGGGCGAGGTCGGTGGCTTCTTTCGGTGGTGGGCGTGCCAAACACCGGCGATTATTGTTACAAAACGCAGCGGGCCGTGTAATTTTTTGGCATGGAGCACGCACTGGGACTCAAAAATGGAAATTCAAACTCGAATTCACATCTGAATCTGAATTCAGTTTGAGATTCAAATTGCCCAAAGAAATCGCCGTCGTGGCGAACTTTTCCATGGCTACAGGGACTTCTATGCTCCCTGTTGTAGGCGCAGGGGGCGTGACATGCGGTAGATGTGAGCGTCATTGTGTCTGCCTTCTGGCTGCTGAAAATTGTTTTGTGAAAATTAGTTTTTAAACTTTTCTCGCTCTTTTGCCATCGTTTTTATTTTTGGGTTGCCATTTCGTATGGGAAATGAAAATCTAAGCGCAATGTGCGAAATTAATTTGCATTCTGGTTTGGTTCACGTTATCATTTTATTCCCATTTTGGGGGAGGGGCCAATAAAAATCAAATTTAAATAATTTTTAATTTATTTAACTTTACTTTCATGTTTAATTTTCCTTTTTTCAACGTGTACACTTCGAATTCGCGCTGGCTCGTTTCGATGTAATTGCTTTCAAATGGTAGAGGAAATGCGATGCATTGGGAAAAACTTTTTCGTATTGGCTCTTTTTGGGACAATTTTGATGGGATAATTTTTATGTCCATTTTGAACGCTGATGATGTTGAAATACGCATCACTAACAGATATGCTTGGAAAAAAAACTAGACGAGTGCGCGTTAAAAATGAATTAGAATAAAATATGTTCTCTTAAATAAATAATAAAATTGTGATTTGTTTGCGGACAGGCACGATAGAAACACCATGCAGAAAATGTATTATTATTATATTTATTTAAACTTTATTGCATTTAAATCCATTTCACAACTTATGACATATTTTTGTTGTTAAACAGTATTTCGCTCGGTATATGGTATTGAATGTATTTGTATTTGAAATATTTTCTTGTCTAAACTAAAATTGTCTTAAGTTTTAAAGTTATTTGTTTGCATTTAACTATTGCTTTTTAGCTACAAATGATGAGTCACTTTAATTTTCAATTACATACCATAAACTCACATAAATTCATGATAATCACAAAGTTAGGATTTGATTTTGTTTTTCATTTGACATTGTGCAATTTTCTGATTGATTTGATTGTTGCTTGGAAGAGAAAGAACAAGTACTTTATGTGTATAACCACGACTCTTTAAAACCATCAACATTTAGATGAGCTGCAATATGCGTAATATATATATTGTTGAATTTGGAGCAACTGACAGAGAACAGATCGATTGAAAGAATCGTAGTAGTATATAGCTTCTTCAGATTCACAATTGAGTAATAAGTTAGCTAAATGTCTGGCCATTTGGAAGAAGGAAGTCTACCATCTCTATTAATAAAAATTCTCAATGTTCATACACAACTTATTTATCTAATACGATAGATTACTGCCATTCGGGCAATAATACACGAACCTGCCTACTAAACTACGATTAGATTAACAATCAAACCGAATGAAAAGTGTAAATAGTGTTTGATTTGCCTTTGCCACACATTACAACATACCTATGTTTACCTACTAGATTATAATATATTTGTTTTGATAATACACACACATTTGACACACAATAATCTGTTTTAGCTTTGAAGCTCGCTTATGGTAAAAATCTATCACAAACATACATAAAATGAACACTTATAATGCTTAAAACTGGGGCAATAATTGTTTACGCCTTATGCAATTATTTTGAGATTGAAGGTACTTAAAACTGCTAGAATTTTGAAAGTATTCGTATCATCCACGTAATTTCTTAATTCAGATTGGAAATTGAAATTAAAGATGAAATTAGTTCTCAAGATCAGAAAGTTCAGTCACTTGTAATTGTATATAAAATGTTTTAAAATATAGTTTTTTGAATAATTTAGCCAGGATGTAAATTAGAAAGAAATTGCATCAAATAAAATGTTAATCAATGTCAATTTCTTTTTGATATTAAAAACATTTCGCAAAGTGCAAATTTCTAATATTTAAAAAAATTAAAATCAGAGATTCGAAAACGTAGATTAACTACAAACAAATGCTTTAATTTAAACTGCAAACAGTACAAACCGATTGTTAACTGATTCGTTGCTATAGAGAGGGCTACAACTTTTCAAGTTTTATTTAACGCTAAAGGACATGCGCAATATATAGACAGACATACACACACACATTTACACACACATTTAGAGCTACGATGCGTACACGTTCACGGTTCGACCGCAGCAAATAACATAATGCTAAATATCCTTTTACTTGCGATACTCGGCCATGGACTCGCCCGCCAGCGACAAAGACGGCGGTGGACTGTGACAGGCGACGCGCACGCGGCTCAGGCGCAGGCTGCCCGTGTGATGGGCGCCGTGGGGAGCGTGAAGCATGGCCCGGGCCTGTGCCTGCTGGTGCAGCGGGTGGTGGGCGCACTTGGCCTGTCGGGCCAGTTGATTGTTGGCGAGTATGACGTCCTCTGCGTACTAAATGTCCGGTATGCTGCGACCGGCGGCCAGTTTGGCGGCTACAGTTGAGACGGAAGCTGATGCGGATGCATCTGCGGCAGTGCCGAGCAGCTTGCTCTTGGCGCAATTGGCATCATGGAATAGATGCTCACAGAGCTTTGGCTCTGATGTAGAAAATTTACTCAGCTCGGCGGCGGTGGCTTCCTGTGCAGCGGCAGACACGTTCAAATGCATATCGCTGTGCTTGCTAAACGAGGTGGTTTGATGCTGTTGCGGCTGATGTACCTGATGCACATGTCCATGAACGCCCACGCCGGCGTGCTGATGATAGGGGAAGTGCGGGAAACTCTTCTGCATGGCATGCAGGTTGCCCGAGCTGACGGTGCGCTCCAAGATCTCGCCCCAATACTTCTCCGAGAGACCCTCAATGTCAGGCCGTACTGTGGCATAGCCATCACCAGCAACCTGATGTGCGTGACTGTGCGCTCCACTGCCGCCCAGTGTGCCCCTGATGTACTGTGAGGCGCTGCGGCTCAAACTGTTGGCTCTGGAACGTGCACAAATGCCAAGCACAGAACCGCCAATGGCGCTGCCAATGCCACCGCCAACACCGCCACCAACCCCGCCACTGGCACCACCATTATTCGCCGGCGGCCGCGAGGCGGGCGGCTCTGGCGGCAACGGAAGCGTTGTGATTTCAAAATCGTTAGCATTGATGTGACAACAGGCTGATTTGTGTTCGGGCGTGTCCTCGCTGGGAAAGCACTGAAACGAGTACAAAGTAAAAGCATCATAAATCTGGTCTAAGTTACGAAATTAATAAGCATTTGAAATTCGCATTTGTTACAGATAGTCTAGTCGTATAACTGAGGCCAACAATCGGGCAGCTCGTGACTCGTGACACGAATACCGTATTATGTTTTCGCCATAAGCACTATTTTTTCAAATCTCCAATCTTATTATTTATATTTTTGCTATTGTTGCAGTTCATTTAAAAAATAATATCTTTTTAAGAATGTTTGTAAAATTTATTATAAGCAATTTTTATTTAAATATATTTTATTATGGTCTTTTATTAAATGTTGAGCTTATATGTAACAAAATTGAACCAGTTCCTAAATATGGAGACTGTAATTTTTGACTTGTCTAAATAATGTTTAAAATTGGGAAAATTAAATTATTGTTTTAATTAATAATTGAGTTAAATTAATAATATGAACATTTGAAATGTATTCTTTACAAGTTATTCAATAAATATATGCAATTTAAAAAAATATATTTATTTTCTTAACGTTAAGCAATATCTGACACTAGCTCTTCTCTTGCGCCATAAATTCGCTCAAAATGACCTCAGTTTTGTTTGAGTTTTTCGGAAGTAAATCATGCAACTTGACTGCGCTTGCCAAAATGGATTTGCTAGCCCCATTCTATACTTTTCGCATTCCACCACAAAATAGAGAGAGTTTTCATGTTTATACCCGTTTGGATTGTTTATACGCCGCTTTGGATTTTCTCTTTCATAATTCAAAATCACTTTTCACTGTTTGTGATTACAGTTGTTGTTTGTTGGACGCCGAAGCGAATTTCCTGTTGTATGTTGCTTGCACCTTTTGGATTTATTGCCCTTGGGTAGATGGCTCTGTTCGATGGTCCTTGCGTAATTCTGGTTTAGTTTTTGGCATTCTGACAACGCAGCTACATGAAATCCCTCAATATATGCTAGCTGATTTTGAGCAGCTTTTGTGCTCAACTTAACAACTTCAAAAAGGGTTGGGCCAGCTACGAATAATGTGATGTGCCGGTGAAATGAACAATCGTTGGGGAAAAATCTTCTCTCCCCAGGGGTCAGTAAGAGGATAATCAGAACAAATAATGTAACTACAGTGTTTAGTTTTAAAGTGTGCGTAATAAATTATTCAAAATCAATTTGTGGGAGCTTGATAAAGCTTGTGAATTTTTTAAATACAAAGTAACCAACGAAAGGTGCACCGAAATAAATTTAAAAAGTGGCTTAGAAAGTGGTTTCATGAATTTACTTCCATATTGGCTAATCAAAATTGTAAAGATAAAGGCAAGTTTCCTTTTATTAAACGCAATCGCGTATTTGGAACACAATCTTTGCAAGAATAAATTAAGTATCTGGTAGATCCTTCTTTTTTAGCAATGAGCTTTAGTTCATTTTGAAAACCTGACAACGATAATTAAAAAGGGGGAAATGCCGAGATTCATATACACAGAAATGTTTACCGCAAAGCTACGATTCAATTAGACAGAGCATGGAAAACGTAAAAATGCGAGAGCCGAGAAAATGTATGTAGGAAAATAAATAAAATACAAGCTCACCTTGTTGGGCATCAATTGTCGGCTAAGGCGACGAAAGTCCGAGTTTAGCAGCCAATACATAAATGGATTCCATAGACTGTTGCTTAACGATGTCCAGGTTACCAGGAAATCCAGAAATGGTGGCAGCTGCAAGCATAAGGTGGGTGGTTGGCGTAGAAATGTAGAAGATAAACACACCACAATCAATATATGTTTGTGGCTAACATGGCGTATGCGCAACATAATCGCACAAGCTGATTACGTATGCGACACGTGGGCTGCATATGCATATGAGTACTTGCCTTGGAGCCAGTGCAGGCGGTCACAATCTCCTGAATGGTCCACGGTGTGACCATAACAATGAATCCCAGCGAAATGGCCGCCATTGAACGTGACGTGTTACCGCTTGAGTTCTTCTCCTGTATGGGCACAATCTGCAGTAAATGCACATTATTTAACAAACTAATTAAAAGCACCGCACATAAAATGTCATAGTAAAAACAACTAATTGGGGTATACCACATGTTGCGGCAACAGGAATGTATCGAAGTACATTTTTAATTTGATTGTGGAAATTTTGATTTGAATATTGTTGTAATTTGATTGAGTTAAGCTTTTTATGTGCCAAATATAATTAATATAAAATGTACTTAAATGTATTCAAAAATATTCGAGATAAGCTTATTGTGAATATAAGAAAAATAAATCAAACAGTATTTTGAGCTTTTCTAAAGTTATTTGAAGCTAAGCAAGGGCTTACACTTTATTATATTCTGAAATGTATTTATGTTTTCAAATATATTTACTTAAAATTATACCAGCATGAAGGCAGTTTTTCTCTGTCATATATTTAAGTATTAAATGCGTTAAATTGTGGAACAAGTCTAGGCCTGCCGTCGGGCTAATTGAAATTCCATTATAGGTAACCACGTAAAGACCCTGACTCACCTTTTTGGTAATCTTGTTTGTCATGCTTGGCATTCCGACGAGGCCCATGCTCATGGCCATGCTCAAATGGTTCATAACCGGTGCTCGATGATGATGCAAATGATGCGAGTGTCCATGGCCGCCATGTCCAAATATGTGTGAGGATTGCTGCTGCTGCTGATGCTGATGCTGCTGCTGCTGCTGCTGATGCTGCTGATGTTGCTGCAGTTGCTGCTGGGGCGGATGATGCGGATGTGGATGATGTGCGGCTGCTGTAAGCGGCATCGTTGGATCGTTTAAGCGAAAGCGACTCATATGAAAGCTGGAACCGTAACAGTACATCAGCACCATCGTGGTTGGAAAGTACAATGCACAAGTGGACAGTATGCGGTACGAGGGTTTACTATAAAATGGCTCGCATGCCATTAGTCCCGTGTTGTTGAAGTAGTAGCCTATATGAACGGATATGCAAATAGATAAAAGCCAAATGAGCAGCTGTTTTCAGTATTCGATGGGCAGGTGTAAATGGGTGTGTGAGTGGCTGAACTCACCTTTAGGCAGCACCAGAAGCCCAAACACCGTTAGGCTGATAATCCATGTTAAGCTCAATATGGCAACACAGCCCTGCAAGACACACACACACACACATAAGATACATTTGACTTTTGTTTAGTTGGTGTGGTTAGAGTTAGGTTTAATTTGCCATCTAAATACGACCCCACAGTTACCCAGCCGCAATATCTGTGTTAGCCATTGCCACATACTCAGGGACAGGCACAGCTCCCACCTCCTCTGACGCTGCTCTTTCAGCTGACTCCAGCTGGTTGTGTGATTTATGGCTGGTGAGGAATTATGTGCACGTTTCTGATTTTAAGTCGTTTTGATGCGCAACATTGCAGCTACACGTTCTAGTCCATTTGTAATTACCCATCAAAAGACAATTTTGTAAATGGTTTAAGCGTGTGAGGTCAATGGATCATTTACAATGATGGCGCACATGATAAATGTATCGCTTTGTGACTTCATATTAAAATTTCTTTTGGCTTGTTTCAAAAAGAAGGAGTCAAGTTAATTGTGATCAGTCATAAGGCGGGAAGTAGGGAAGCAGTTCGTAGGTTTTAAAAGGATTGGATTATTTCTCTCTGGTTCTTAGTTTTCTAAACAAAATTTAAGATTTAATATCCTGACACTATGTCAGATTCTAAATATTTTTTTTTTAATTAATAATTTTAGTTTTAAGCTGATAAACAAGTCGCAATAAAGACAAATTGATTGGCTAATGCTAGCATAATTATTATCAAAGCAAACTATTTCAAAGTTATTTTAATTATCAGTGTGAACTTGTTCACAGATAAACTCGTAGCACCGACTACTACTGCCATATTTAATAAACTAGTTCGGTGTGAACAAGTTAACGGACTGAAGGCTGGCTTACAAATCTCACTTATTAGCACTTATAGCTGGCTGAATTATTCTCTTTGAGCTAAAAGCTCTTTGAAAATCATCTTCCAGTTCATCACCCTTAAAGCTCTGAGTTCTCACTCAGCTGAAACTATCGCATATAGTTGCGTACAGAGCTATGTTTACTAATGAAACCTTTAAACAAAGTTGTATGCCAAAGTGTTTTTGCCTTGAAACATTGCCTATGGCAAACAACATCAAACGCCGAGAGAAGCAGTAGGGTAACCTTCAACAAATAAATATATATTTTCTAAAAAAGGGCAACAGCAAATGGAATTAAAAACTTTTGATTACGTTGAAAACAGTTGGGCAGAGGCCAACCACAGGCGGCACACAAAATGAAACATTTGTGAAAGGCTGCCACAATCATAACTGACTGACTAACTGACAAACTGACTGACTGGCAGGCCAAACAGCTGGCAGCTGAATGGCAGCCGAAATGAGAACATTTTGCAGCACTTCGAGCCTTTCAACAAGCCGACAATGCCAAAAGGTTGTCGGCACAGTGCAAAGTACTCAAAAACTAGCTACTATTTCACTTTATGCCAACATCTTTTATTGTTTATTTAATTTACGCTCTTATTTGGTTTGCAACGTTTTCCTCTAAGCGATCAACGGATGCGTCAATTTAAACTTTCAACAATGCGTAAATTATATGTAAATGTACACGGCAAAATATGCAGTATGAAGATTACTTCACAAACATGCTATAAATATACATATTTATATTTTTGCTATTTGTATAAAATTTTTAGACATGAAAATTGTTTTGTATACTTAACGGGAATTTGAAATTTATTTCCATACTTTGCATTTACATTAAACATTTATTCGAGAGTTTACTCTCTATTACAAATATTTTGATATATTTGCAGCTAGTTTAAAACTGAGCGAAAAACTAGGGATTTTTACTACCCTTGTAAATTATGAGATATAGAAAGCTCGAAACTGGAGAGTTTGATAAAAATCTCTTTGAAAACCGATTATTTTGCCATATAAAATCCCACTATTCGACCGATACTTCCTATAGTAGCTATATATAATAGTCCGCTGATGATAAGATTTTGCATATATACAGGGATCACGGTTTAATTAACAATTCGCGATTTTGGAATAGTAATCTTAATATAAAAACAAAATTTCCATATTAAAACTTGCTTCTCGACTGGTAGGTATATTATATAGTGGTCCGATCCAGCCAAAATTCCAAAATTAGTATTGTCTGCAACAGCATGCAAGGTTTCAAGACGAGAGCCTTAAAACTAAGAGACAAGGTCGTTCATCTATCTATCTTATCCATATCCATGTTGTTGAAAGATAAAGAAAGCCACATACAGTTAAGAATTTTACCAAAAACATAAAAGATTTCAATTAATCTCTGCTCTTACAAAAAATTGTTATTATCATAAATGAAACAACATCATTTTCGCGCTTCCTTCGAGATGTGAGTTGCAATTTATGGGAAGTTTCAATAAAAACATGACAAAAGCTGAAAAGTTGAAAGTTTTCAATGGGCCATTACAAGGCGAAAACTGGGCCAACAAATTGCGTGGCCCGAATGTCAGACGCCTCGGCTGGCGACGTCAGCAGCCATTTATTAATTTTCGACAGTGCACACTTTATTACAAATTGGGCGTGGCTGTGCGCCAATTTCGCAGACTCCAGTCAAGAATTGCATACCAATATTGGAGCAAAAAAGCCAAAGCTAAACAAAAAAAAAAAAAGGAAACAGGCGGCATCCCAATTTTATGCAAATATTTTCAACTAATATTTTTTCTCGCATTTTGCATTTTTTGCCTTCGCGTTTTTTATGCTTCTGCTGCGCTCTGTTCTACCATTAACTTTGGCACTTGTGGGTCTTTCAAAATACGCATGTGCATATAAATTTTGTTGCGGGCATTTACTGAAATTGCGCAATACTTTGGCTGTTGCTCTTACCGAGTGCGTACGTTACAGGGACAAACGTACTACATAAATATTAACTTGGCATCTTAATGGCTGACTGCATATTTTGTAATAATAAATGGTAAATAAAAGGTTTTTATGATAAAAATGAGCAAAAGTAGTTTGACATTTTCCAAAAGTTGCATTTGTAACAAGTTTTGGCAACAATTGTTCAGAGTTGGAGCATTTTTTATCAAGTAAATTGGCAGACGGACGGGCCTGGTCACAGCGAATGAGCTTCAAAGTCGACACTTCTTCCTGTTCCTGTCAAAGCTAACATCGATTTTCATTTCTTGTCGAGCTCAAGGAAAACAAAGTTTTTGGGCTAGTTAGAAGTGCAGCGTTGCCACCTTGCAAGAAATTGGAACGAAACGCAGCGTGAGAAAAATAAAAACAGATTCCGATTGACAGTTTAAGTGTAACAACAAAATATGACCGTTACGCCATGTGATTGTTCAACTGAAAACAATTTTGGTAAGAAATTTAAAAAAATTAAAAATAATTTTGAAAAATGTGCTGATCCGTCATGTAACAAATGTGAATTATATATATTTACAGTAGCTTATACTATAAATAATATTATTTGAATTGAATATTTATGAGTCTCTCGCCTCTTGAAAATGTTTTGTAATTAGGAATTTCATTAAATCGATGTACAAAATAAATATATAAAATATTTGCTTAAGCAAATTGATATATTTTGAGTTTTATTTAAGGCACCCCTTGATATTATGTTATGTTAGTATCCATTTGCATATTTAAACACAATTCATAAAGGCAACGTTGCACGGACCCGGACCGGACGGACTTCTCACCCGTTTTGTAAATGATACGCGACGTTTCGCTGTCCAAGCCCAAAAATTATTTCTTTCCACTTCCGCAGATACATTTTTCTTGTTTTTTTTCCTTCCCCCTCCCATTCGCTTTTACTTATGCTTGGGCTAGCCTTCATTTTTGGGCGGCTGCGTAAATGTTTGTTGCCTCATAAATTATGATGTGAGAGCGTCTGCGTGTGTGTACGTGTGAGTGTGAGAGAGAGAAGGAGAGACCGACTGGCAGCCATTGCTCGTTTGCCGTGCCCTGCCTCCCGCCTGCGGTTGGGGTGTCCGTCGCCGCTTCAGGCGCCCTCGTTCCCTTGGTCCTTGGTCCAGGGCCAGGTCTATGCTGTGGTCTACGTATTTAGTCAAAGTCAAACAGTAAAAAAAAACGTAGGAGAATACGAAAATCCCAGCTCGCTTTTTTTTTATCCCTATTTTATACACTTTTCGACTGTTTAGGCTGTGTTTTATTTCTGCTTGCTTTGCTTTTTCATTCTTCATCTGTTGGCGCTTTGTTTTATGCTGCGTGTTTTGTATGCAGCATTTTAATGACTGCCAAAGAGCTTAAAGCCCATTATCCTTATTTATCTCTGCGTAATTGGCACATAGATGAGTTGTTGTTGTTGTTGTTGCTGCCTATTAGATTTTATTGGCGCGTGATTTCTTGGTAGTTCCCCATACGCCTTTGTTTGTTGCCTCTGTCCTTTGTGATAAATTCTTATCTTAACTTGTCCCACAGCTAATCGCGGCTGACAACGTGCCTTATCTGCCTTGCCGCGTATTAGTGGGAATTACAGAGTGTGTTACGCCAGAGCGAAAATTATGCAACTCGCGCTCTGCCATCGCTCATCGCCCACCTCGCCTCCTTGCCGCCTTGCTGACCACCGTCTGATCCACTTACCTTCTTGCTGGAGTGTTGGTAATAGCGTCGCGGATGCAGCGCACACATGTATCTGTCCACCGCCATGCAGACGAGTATAACGGCGCTTTGTTGTGATAACGCTCCACGCAGCAGGGCCTGGTGAAAAGTCAGTCGGTGTGGAAGGTAACATGGAAGGATGTGCCGGATAAAAATTTGAGTAGGTTATTTAATATTTTCTTTGATTTCCACTTTTTAAGATAAAGAATCATTTTTTTCGTTTGGCTTAAATTTAAATTTCAATATAACAAGTAAAAGTCGTAAATTGGGGTTTTTTTTTATGCATTACAAGCTAATCGAAGATTTTAATTTTAATATTAAATTAAAATTATCTCTGATAAATATTACATAGTTGTACTTATGTATGGGCATTTAGGACTTTCTGCTTTTTAATACAACGAATTTAATAAAAAGCTAAATGAACTAATATATTTTTTGTTTAAAAAGACTTGTATGTATTTTGTTTCAGTTGGAAACAATGCTAAATCTAATTCAACCGGTTTTAATCATGACCTCTTTATTTAGTTTTTGTATTTGTAATTGTGTTTAATCTCGAACCATTTTATGTTGGTTAGCCAATGTAAACAATATTACTTTATAATAAGTGCATTGTTGTACGTAGACAAAAGTATATTGGTTGTCTGTTTAGTTGACTCGGCTGTCGTGTGAACTAAACAAAAGGCTCTTTGTCTGGTAACATTAGATTAATTGAGCTACATATGATAGCTTAATTGGCAACAATAAGCCAGTGCCTGGCGCCCGTACTCACCTGTATCTGGCAGAAGATCTCACCATATGGCCAGCAGTGAAACAATGCAGGCATTAGACCAAATGGTGTAATTAGCAGGCCAATTGTCAGGTCATTCAGCGCCAGAGATGTGAGCAGATATCGTGGCTAAAAGCAGCGTCCACTTAGCAGTTAGTTTGTTGTTGCTTCCTGCCGACTCACCTGTTGATGTATGTAGGCGGCGTAGCGGCGATTGTTAATGACAAAGATGACCAGGCAGTTGGCCCCAATCACACCCAGAGTTAGCACCAATATCAACACCGCCTCAATTGTCTCCGCTATGCCAATGTGCACGATAAAGTTGTGGCCCGAGTAACGCGGATGCGAGCAACTGGAATTCTTTACCGCGGGCGCTACAAGCAATGAGCCAGTCTTGAGGTCCATTGCGATGCTGTAATTAGATCGATTAATTTGTAGTTAAATATTATTTTTCATCTGATTGTTCAAGTCAGATACTAACTAAATAAAGATCACATTACAACTGTGTGAGTTACTTGAACAGAAAATGAGAATTCTTTATTAAAATACTGCACTTGCCACTGTCATTAAATTCTTTAGTTTTTAAGAAGAAGCAGCTGGATGAAGAAACGTTTGTTTAATTAATTTAAAGAAGTAAGCGAATGAGCATCTCGCCTAGTTAGCTTTGATTGTCTGTTTGCCTTTTGTTGGCCGAAAAGGCAGCGCTGGCAGTTTGGTCGTTAGCGCTGCATTTGCGGTCAGGACGTTGACGTCGTTTCCGGTTCCGTTTCCCATGTGCAAATATGCAAAATGGCGACAATTTGTTACGCCATAATCAAGTCAAAACATGCGAAAGCGACGCCGCGTTGACAATTTTTTAGCAGAAGGGCATTGTGGAGGAGAAAAATCGCATCAAAATGATAAAAAAGAAAAGAGTAGAAGAAACAATATAAGTGAAAGATATTGTGGAAGAGAGAGGGAGGGCGGGGGGAGAGATTGCCAATATGGCGGCATTTCCGGCTCAGCCAAAATAACGCGCTGGAATAATGAATCTTTACAGGATAATTGGATGATTTTGCGCGTTTTTTGTGGCTCGTCTGGTTTTTAGTGCTTTCACTCGCGATAAATCAAAACCACAGCCGGGCCGACGTTGATGTCTTTGTCTCTTCTCTCTGCTCCCAGCGCTGACATTGAGAAATGTTTAAGACTAGAGTAGAGGAACATAACCGAATACTTATTTGCTTTAAAGAGTTTTACTGTGGAAAAAACGTTCCTAGACACCGCCCTTTGTCATTTATATTTTTTGTCTCTTAGCGACGTTCTTTTATTAGGTTTGGCCATGCTTACAATGTCATATCCCAGAGAGCTCTACGTCTGTGATTTATCGTGGTCGTCTGAGCGATGCTGTGTTTATGCTAAGTCCACAAATCACCGCATGAAATATAACCAAACTGCAAAACATTAAGCCCAATAGTCCAGTGTACTAGATTTACTACCGCAAAAGACTGTAAGGCATGTGATTAGATCGTCTGGCAGTAGCACAGAATGCGAGATATTCAAGAAGAGCATGACAGTTTAATCACTCAATATTCAAATGAAGCTTGCATACACTGGGAGAACACATTGTGGACTTATAACAACTATATTTGAAACTATCTTATCACACTGATAACTATAATGTAAATGCTAGGGCTTTATTTCAGTTTAGACCCAGATAAATACTTTCGAGAAGTAATGGATAGCGATCCGCAAAATTACTGGAATATTTTCCTGTATTAGAATTTAGTTAAACAATTGAAAACGTCAATTCAAAAAGTCATTTTGCAGTGCCACAAATATCCATTGGCATGATGCAATTCAAAGTTGCTGCCAGTTAAACCTGATAGCCATTGAATGCGGCACTAATAAACCGACAGACAATTGAACCGGGATAGAGCACTGCGGATTGTCCACAATGTGCTTGCCAAAAACCAATTCAATTTTCAAGTAATGAAAAGAGGAAATTCGCTTAATTCCACGTATTGTTAAGTCGGTCCAAAGCGTAACCGAAACAGAACCAGCTACACCGAAACAGTAACAGGGCCAGAAGCCCAAACCGAACAGCAGCAGAAAATGGAGTAACTGCAACATTGGCAAGTGCCCGGATTCCAGTGTCAAATGCAAGACCGCGTAATTGTTTTAAAATGCGAATAAGCGAAAATGGCAATAAAAACGGTAGGGCAAATGCGCAAATCAGCGTTTGCAATTTAAATAAACGCAATTTTCCAATGGCATTGCAGCAGTTGAAGCAGTCGTACGTTTAACTTGGTTCAACCAAACTCATCAATATTGTATGCCCGAGCAGCAACAACGACAACTAAAACAACAGCAACAAAAGCAGCAGCAATGTTGATGAACATGAAAATAACGAGAAACGAACCCGAACATTGGCAAAGACAAACGGCGAATAAATAATTTAGTTGCCGGATTAGAGAGCCACAATCCGCTTTTGAATTTACACTCAAGTTACTTCCATTAGTGGCATTTGGTAAGCGAGCAAAACTATTGCATATCATTAGGCGCTGCCGCTTCAGGCTGCAGTTGTCAGCAACCGCACGTCGCTTGCATAATCCACGCCCAGACTTATAACACCAACTTGGCACAGGATTTGGCCAGGATGACAATGACAACGAAAACGGCAACGACAAGAACAACGTGGGTGGGTGCGTCGACTAGTACAACGTCATGCCACGCTGCCTGTAATTGTGTCCACAAAATGACAAAAAGAAGCACACAACATGATGAAATTCCCCATTGAATTGTTGCTCGACTAGGCTATACTCTGCACAAATTAAGTGGAACATATAAACATAAAACCTTTTTAGCTTTAAATAAATGCAAAACTAAATCTAAACAGTAACAAAATATTTGTAAGACAAAGTAAGGTATTTACAAATAAAAGAAAATGTAAATAAATACTCTTATCAATATATTCTGGCTATGCGTTAATCGCCAATCAGTCAGTCAGTCTGTCAGTGAGTCAATTATCACTGGCTTATTTATAAGTTTTATATATCTGTTTACTAAGATTTTTGTTTTGTTCTATTGTCATAGTTTGATGAAGGGTTTGTAATAAGCGATCTTTTATTCTATTAAGTATATCTGAGTTTTTCTTAATATCGATTACAATGGAATTGAATTGATGTGTCAAACGTTTTTTGAATAGTTCGTATTCCCAAAATACTTCAGAGCTTTCTGAATTTTAATAGACAACTCTTCTTAAAGACTTTGGGGTATAGAAAAATTAGCACACAACTTAGTAAGATCTAGTCCAAATAAATGCTTGCATCTCAAATAGGTTGGTAAACATGCTTCAGAATGTATTATCTATTGACGGGAGTATTGAGTTATTGTATAGAGTTTTCTATATTCCTAGACTAAAATCAATTAAAATGCTTTACAAATTTGTCTTGTGCTATACAAAAGCGTAGTTGATTTTAAAATCTGTCAATCTACCATATTAATATTAAATATTTCCACATAGACCCATTAAACCTGTTTCAAATTTCGACAGCATAAATTACAAGCACACAAGATTATTTAATAGGGTATAAAGCTTTGAGAGCCAAGCTGTAACACAATACAATAGAATGCAAGAACAAGACAGGAATTTAGGACTGGTGAGAGGGGAAAGGGTTATCAATTCTGTATTCACAGTGCGTTTTGTGTATGCAACGAATGAGAGTCCGTTTGTATGGTTCTTTGGTGTGCGTGCGTGCGAGTGTGTGTGTGTGTGTGTGTGTGTGTGTGTGTGTGTGTGTGTGTGTGTAGACTGGCGCACTATGCGTGCGTGTTAATGCACGAAACCGTAAAGTCCGACCATTTATTCAAGCTGAATTCGGGCACAAGCCGCTCGTTGCATTTCATGCACACTTTTACACTTACACACATGCACATATGAAAAGTTGAAACTGGTGCCGTACTGCGGCTTTGTTCTTAAGCCTGTGTTGACAGCCCTTGTGAGTATGTGAGTGTGTGAATTCACGTCTGTGTCTAAGTGTGTGTGTGTGCATTTCAAATGCAAATTTGCTGCGCACGGATTTTGGATGCTGTGTTTTTCTTGTTGTTGCTGCATTTTGGCAGCATTTGCCAGCTCTGGCTTATTTATAAGATTTGCTTTGAAGCAACGCACTTTGCACATGGTTCAAAGCTGATTCCGCTTGACAAAATGCCCGAGTTGCCAGCAGCCGTTGACTGATTGCGCTTCTTTATTTTTTTTTTTTGCACCCAGGGGCCAGCAAAGTGATTTAGACCGCATTGTGGTTGGGGCTGAAGAGCAATTTTGTGTTCAGAGATAGCCCAAAGCCGTGAGGCAACTGGCTGCAGTTAATGGAGCTGTGTTTTGTGTTTGATTGACTTAAAACTTTTTTACTTTTTGTAAGTTAAAAAGTCAAAGGAATTTCGCTGAAAATTCTAACATCAATCAGTTCAAAAATTTGTGCCAATGTCACCTGTCAAATGTTTCAGCCAGCAGGTCGAGTCGTTAACAAACTTGTTCGCGTCTTTCCACCAGTCAAAAGCGATGAATTTTCATTTTCTTGATTATAGTTAAAGCTGACGCGAGTAGGTGTCAGCCACAGCTGTGCTAATTGATATCTGCTTGGCTGTTCTTGTGGAAAAGTTAAAATTCATTAAGTTCAACATGGCGTATACGTGTTAATTTGTGAAATGAATTATGAAATGCAATTGCCAAGCATACATATTGTATAATTGCCAGATGTCTTTCAAGTGTCAACATTTGATTATTACTCTTTATTATTTGCTTGCAAACAGTTCTAGCTTGTGAGTCAGAAGTTTGCCTTATTTGCTTTGAATATTATTAACAATTTGAAGCACAGCAACAGCTGTGTCTGCTTTATATATTAATTTAATTAGGATTAAATATGATGATCATCAAAAGGAATATGTGCAGCTGTTCTTGCAGACAGTCTTAGAATATGTGAAAGAATTTGTACTGTATAAGACTGTAAATAAATTTAACCAAAGCAATGTCAAGCTGCAGTAAATGATAAGAACGAAGTCTGAGTTTTCTTAAGGTTTAAGCTCTTCGAACTCATAAATGAATTGTTATTAAATGTTATTCAATTAAGATTTTAAATCACTTAAATTAAAGCTTAAGACATTAAGCAGCGCACTGGAATGCATTGTTAGATAAATCTCTCAAAGCGACTGAAACCGTGTTAAATGTCTTGTCATTAACATTAATTAATTCATATTAAAATGCTTGAAGCTGAAATTCTGACAGCGCATAAAGTTTTATGACGCCCAACTGTTGCCTGACTCTCTAGTCGAAGTTTTGCAGACGTTTGTGCAAATATTACGCATACGACACGATGGCCAAAGTTTTCGCTTATTCTTATGCATGTGCAGACACATTCTGATGGGGTGCATAAG